ATTCTATAATGTTTCCTTTGTGTGCCCTCTGTGAGTCAATTTTGAGTTTGTTGCTTGTGTTTCTTCCTGTCCAAAGCCGGTGCAGTTGTTGGTGGTGATGTTCTGAAGAAGGAGGATATAGTCACTTCAATGGGTCCTGGATCAGGTACGTGCAATATGGATTGTCTAGAAATTCCAGCTAATCATACAAGAATGGTTGGGAAGGTATGAAACACTGCTAAGTTATGACCGAGCCAGATCAGCCTTCCACGGTCTGGTGGCCTTCAGAGGCATTTGGACCGCAACTCCCAGAATTCTTCTCCAGCAGGGCCATTGACTGGGAATTCTAGGTGTTGTAGTACAAACATTTCTGGAAGGTACAAGATTGGATAATCCAGGGCAGGAGAAGGTCTGTTGGTTGCTGTGTGCTGTTTTAAAAGAACCAGAAGAAAGCTGAGGGGAGGGGAAGGGAAACAGTGAGGTATGAATGTTAAGCTTTTCCTTTTCTGTGGAATAACCATATGTAGCTGACACAGATCAGGAGAAGGAAGCAAGTGGCTGTGTTATGCCAGGAAGCTGCCCTACGTTCTTGCCAGAAAAATGTTAATCAAGTGGACAGTAAAAATCCAGATATCAGCTGAACTATCCAAGTAGCTGGTAGCACAATAGCAGGAGCTTTGGGATCAGAGGAAGACTGTATGTACCCCAAAAACATCCACAATCCAGGATCTAGTTGTGAGTATATTTGGCTGGGATGGAGGTTTATGGAATTTGGCCTCAGGAAAAAGAAGTCACTTAAGAGGCATTTAAACAGGAACAATGTCTCTTGAGTCCTTAAGAATTGTCACTAAGTTGTCTTTTGAAAACCCCAAAATAAATATTAGTAATCTCTTACGTATACAATATCCTTCAAATAAAATAAAACTACTTGCTTTAGTTTATCTTGTCTCTAGTATTGATGCCCATCTCACACATAACCCTCTTATACCAGCTACTATGGAGTTTTAAAGTAGAACTGGTGACAGCAGAAAAGGGTCAGTTTTGTGCAGCTCAGAGTTTTAGCGGCAGAGAGCTCCTTGGGCCCTTAAAAATCAGCATTTGCTATAAATCGGAAACCTTATAGGTCAGATTGCCCAGTAAAGGAACAACAGTAGCAGTGCTTGGGAAAGGAAATTCACCATACCCACTCCCATCATTTATCAGTGGACTATGCTTTTGTAGGCATTTTTCCTGGGTAGTAATAAGAGCTGCAAATCTTACTGGATCAAATAAGCTGTTTACTGTCAATGACAGGCCATAACATGTGAATAGTCTTTTCATATCTGGGTACATGGAAGCTGAATATGTTCTTCTCAGTATCTCAGTTTAATCCAATACTGTGTTCAATTGTTGATGTAGTATTTTGGTCCTTTGCAGCAAAGGGGTTTTTTAACCATAAAGCTAATGGATGCTCAGACAGGCTGTGGCTGGCATCTTTTGAGTTCTTTGAAGAGACTGATCATTTCCACTGTTGTTAGGTGCTGACTTTAAGTGGTCATCTAACTAAATGCCTGTTTCTATGAATGGTCTCACAGCCTGAGCCTACTATTATTTCTCTTCTTGCTGTTTTGTCCTGCACAGCCCCTCAGTGGCCACTGTTGGGTGAAGAGCTATAATCAGGCATATTGAACTCCATTTCAGTACTCAGCTACTTTTGTGTTGATATCGTTGAGAGCTCACAAGAATGTTAAGTTGCAGAGCATCTTCTGGCTTGCTGCAATGGATCTTTTAAAAAACAGGTAAATACTCCTAGGAGGTCATTATTTGAGAACATTATTCAAGGAAATGCCTTAAAATTGGGTGCTTGATTCAAAGACCATTCAAGTTGTTCACACTTACGTTGACGAGATACACTAGCAGTTGAAAGATGGCTGCTTTCTTCACCCTCTCTGTGAGGTGGAGCTGGTTCTCTATAGTCATTCTTGAGGATCACGCTTTCCACTGAAGTCACAGACCCAGCCTTTAGCTCTTTCTCTCCAAGTGGCTTGATCCTGCTACTTGGGAAGCTGATCTCTGGGTGGATAGAATGGAAATGGGCCCACCTACTTCTTACAGTCACATCTGAAGAATGCCTCATTCATCTTTTTCAGGAACTCTTTTCTCTTCTACTGAAAAATAAGGTTTGTTATAGCCCTCAGCTATCTGGAATACGGCATTCCCAAGAGTGTCTCATTGCTCCTGCTGGGTAGGCAGAACCCTTCATGGTTGGGCAGTTCCAACCAGGCAGTCTCTTGAGTAGAGATTTTCTGCCTATGTACTCTCAGCTTGTACATGTATAGAAAGAAGCATAGCATTCATGTATGGATGGCAGCCTGCACACATTTAATTGAATGCCTGCTCAGCCTCTACATTCCCCTTTGTTTGCTCAGGTATCTTGTCATCATATACAAGAATGCAATACCTGCTCCTTAGGATGTTGGAATGCAAGCTGTAAATCTATCTATCTCAAATTCTTTGTAGCCTTCCTTTGAGGGTGAAAGACAGGAAGGTCAAGAAATGACAAGAAAAAAGTGTCATTTTATAAAGGCTCTTGGAGCTGGGCAGGTAGAGAAGCTAAGAGGAGAAAGATGGTTGGAGATGTGGAGAAGGCCAGGGAGGAAAAAAGCAGCTATATACAAGGGCAAGTGAAAGCCACAGAGTAAAGCAGAGCTGCAGAGAAGAAAGATAAGGGAAGGCAGAGAAATGATTACAGCAAAGAGGAGGCAGAAAAAGCAGCTCCTTCAGCCCTTGATAATTCAGCAGTCCAAGAAACTGTGAAAGTGACTGCCACTGTTGTAACATATCCAGACAGCTTCAGCTATCAGGTAGCACAGAAATGACATGAATAAATATAACGAGAGCCAGTGTGGTGGTTAAGAGTGCAGAACTGGAACTCAGGCAATTGGGGTTCTAGTGCCCACACAGTCACAGACTCTCATCCTACCTCGCAGGGTTATTGTTGTGAGGATAAGATTTAGAGGAGGAGTAAAATTGTGTAAACCACTCTGAGTTCCTTGGAAGGAAAAAAAGGCAAGATATAAATATAATAAATAAATACAATTAAAATAACACCAGAATTGTAACTAAGGGTGGTTTAGGGTTAAGAGGTATTTGCATTTTGGTTTGTATAGGAAAAGGGTTAGGGTCAGGGATTGCACCTCACCTTTGGAATTCCCTTCCAAAAGAAGTGTGACTGGCACCCACATTATTTTGTTTTTGTCACCGAGTAAAGATCTTTTTATTTAGTATTTGTTTTTAGAATTATGTTTTTATTTGGTTTTTCGTGGCTGGTTTTATTGTTGTTTATATTATTGTTTATACTCCTGTTTTTGCACTTCATATTAGTATGATGTTATGTGTTTTTAGCTGTAATTGTTTTATTATTTTTATGTCAGCTGCTGCGTTACGTATGTTATGTGAACCATTCAGAGAGTCCATGGGCTATGGCGCAGCATACAAATGCAATAAATAAATATAGTTACTCTTGTTGCTTAATTAACATTGCTATTCACTAAATATCTCAAAGCTAAACAAATACATGTCTATATTAGGATATCTGTAAACAGTTCCATCAGCAATGGGCTGGGAGAATGGTATGTAATTTTTAAATAAATAAATAGACTCCTCAGTGATAACCTATCTGCCCCTCCTAATCCTGGTAATAGAATCCTGAGTTATTACAGATTTCATGCAGATTCAGATGCATATATGTAATGTTGGACGGTGAAGGCATTGTCTGTTGCTGCAATTCTGCCTGCCTCTCATGAGTGTTCATTGATCACAGTGTTGTGAAAAAGCAGCTTTTTGAGCCCGTCATTATGCTGTGCTTGGGGGCAGAGCTTGTCACCATGATCCTAATTTCTCCTTCCACATATTGATTCAAGCCCTATTCAGAATATGTCAGAATATAGGAATATTCATTTGAATGGCGGCCATGTGTTGATGAGGGGAGCACCCTATATGGTGAGCCTCCCTCTACCTCCAAACACACACTCTTTTGGCATGCCTGCGTTGGAAGGAGTGGAGCATTCATAGCATACCTTTCTGAAAGGGAGGAATCCGGATAATCAGCAGCCCGCTTAGTGGAGATGCTGAGTGTGTGTCAGCTGGTGCTTGCTCAAGGCTGGCAAGTGTAACCCTGCTTTCCTTCTCAGCAAGAGGGATGTTCATGCAATGCCATTATTTTCCCCAAAGTAAGCTGATGAAAGTTTGTTTACACACACACACACACACACACACACACATATACTGGAGCTCTTGCAGTCCAAAGAGCATGGCCTGTAAAGCACAACCGACACACACACAACGTGTATGTGTGTTTGCGTGAATGACCTAAAGATCATTCTAAATTACATTCGAAAATCTAAAGAAAAGATCAGTGGGGCGTTTGTCATCACCCAAGTCATGCCCTTACTTTAACATAACGTCCTAACCCCACTGCACACGTTCTACCGAACGCACATGTGTGGGATCGCGGAGAGGCGGGGAGCAGCGCCTGGTCACGCTACCTCCAACACGTGCATTCCTAGAACGTCTGAAAGGACCCAGGAGCGGGAGTCAGTACTTCGCCACGGACAGCTACCAGAAAGCAGGGACCGGAGTGCCGTGCGCGCCCGCCGAGCAGACGGCCGGCCTGGCAGGAATGTCTCCGGCGGGGAGCGAGGCCGGCGCCGCGAGGCCCGTAAGTTGCCGGCTGCGTGGCGCGGCCGTGTGAGCGGCGGCCGGCAGCGGGGGAGATGCGGCAAGGCCGTGTCCTTCCAGCGGCCGCGGATTGCTGCGAGGGAAGCTGCGGAGAGGAAGGCCGCGGACTGATGCTGCCGCCGCCGCCGCCGCCGAGCGGGTAGGAGGCTCCTCCTCGCCGCCGCCGCCGCCGCCGCCTCGGCGCTGCGTGAGGCCGCAGCGCGGCTCCCGCCAAGCGGCCGGCGGGAGGACGGAGGGGGCGGCGAAGCCCGTCGCCTCTCCCTCGCTCGTGTACCAGACAGGCCGGGCTCCCCGGCGCGTCCTCAGGCGGCAGTGGGCGGCGCTGGGCCGGGCAAGACTCCTTCCCTTCCCTTCCCGTCCCTTCCCTTCCCTCCCCACCCCTTTCACCACCTCACTGCGCTTCGGAACATGGCGGCGGCAATAACGGTGGCGAGGCGCTGAGGGAGCGCCAGCGCTCGGCGGCCGGCCGCAGGTGAGCGGGCGGGAGAGGCGGGAGGCTCCGACGCCCGCCGAAGGAGGGAAAGCCGGCTAGGCCGGCCCCCGCCAGGAGGGGCGAGGGCGGGCGGGCACGGCCTGGCTCCGCAGCCGGGCAGGGTGGGGGACGGACGGGTGGCTGGGTGGGTGGGGGGCCCCTCCGCCTGGCGCAGGCCCGGCCAGGCGCGCCCTGCGAGCGGAGTGACAGCGGGCCTGCCCACCTCCCGGCCTCCCTCCCGGCTTGGCCCGCCGAGGCCGCGCTGCCGCCGTGGGCCCCCTCCGCGGCTTCCCTCGCTTCGCCGCTCGGGGTGATGTCAGCCCCGCGGAGCTGCTTTGGGTGGGCTTAAAGGCGTCCCGGCTGGTGGGCTGCCCACCGCCCCCCTTCCGGGGGAGCTGTGGCTGCTGCAGGTATTGCCGCCCGTGTTTAGCTTTCTGAAAAATACGGCACTTATTATACTCAGCCTTTATTTTCCCCCTCCCCTCCTCCTCCTCGTCTTGAACAGAGGCCTTCCCCAGAGCATCTTCCTATTCGACAGCCAACGTGCATGCATGTGGAAGAGATCTGCCACAGAATGTGGCAGTGGCCACCACCAGTTTGGATGGCCTTAACAGGGATTTGGAACCGTTGATGATAATACCTTGGAGGAGGAAGCCGATTTGTTGTTAGTGGTGGGATCTCGATGGACCTGGAGGCATACCTTCAAATAACAGTTAGGAGAAGGCTTTTGCCTTCACAGCTTGCTGTTGGGCTTTGATCTGGAAGCATTTGGCTGCCTGCTGTTGGAAACAACACGTCAGAGTTGATGGATCAAGGTTCTTCTTACACACTTACACTTTAAGAGGGCATTTAGCCCTCCCCCCCAACTCCAAAATTTGGGGCTATTTCTTTCAAGCCATTCCTTTCTTTTGCTTCTTCATCTGGCCCCAGTCAATTAAACACTGATAAAGAATCCGCTTTAAAACTATCTTTTGCCCTTACCATAAAGGTTGTAGGAGACCGTTCAATGCACACCTTGTACATTTTTTTTTAATCAAGTGATACCAACCTTCACCCCCAAAAGTGGGTTCTAGTGTAGTGTGCAAATATACAGATTACAGTGCAATACAGAGAAAGGAGAGATAAAAATGACAACTCATCAACCAGCTAAAACTAAATCACTGTTTAAAATTAAAAATGCTAACTATGTGCCAAAAACATGCAAAGCTGGAGGAGAGCATGCCAGAGTCAGGTACCATCCACCGGGAAGGCTCTTATACTTTAGTTCAGATAAACTTTACAGAATGGCTTATGTTAGGATTAATCAGAACTATTCTTGTCCATTTTCTTTTGCTTCACTGCATCCTCATCCTGTGGTTTGAACTTGTGAAAATTACAGCGGCTATAGTGGGACAGTATGTGGATATAGGCTTATGGATTTTATTACTAGATAAAGTAAAACATGTGTTTTCCTATTCCTAGAAGAGTTCAGCTGAGAATTTTCATTCTTTGCCCTAATCACAAGGACCTGCAGATTTCTCCCTGTTGTCTGGCATCCTGATCAGTACCTTGGGGTGGGGATATATGTTCTGTTGGAATTAATGAAAGTTAATATTACTCAGGGCATTTAGCAGGAGGATAGTTTATGGAACTTTAAAAATAACACTTTGAATAACTGCAGACCATAAAATGTAAAATACTATCTAATGTTTAGTGTGTGAATCTACTATTTGTGGATGCCATTGTATACATTCTTAACATGTTCAGAATCTAATCTATACATCAGTATTTGTTAATTTTGGGAGAATATGTGGTTAATGGTGGGAGTTTGATTTTTCTGTTCAGTGCATTTGAATGTAGGCATATATTACATAGAAACTATCTGAAAGCCATATTGATAAAGTACAACATTAATAAACTTTTGGGAAACAGGTTCAAGTTTAGACTTAAGTTTCTATACTTATCTGAGTCCCAGTGAAGCAAGCAACTTGCTTTGCACAAATTCTTTTAGGATTGAAGTGTGCTATTTTTTTTTTAATGCCACCTGCAAAAAGAACTGCAGTAGCCCGCATACTGCCATCGGTTAATGGGCTTGCCTAGCTGCTGCTTTGGTTTTTGATGTTTGGGCTGTGATGTATATTTCATCTTTCTTACTGGTTGTTGATTCAGTGGTAAACCCTAGAATTTTGTCTCTCTTGTTAAAACGAAATGCATGTGATCTCTTAACTAAGGATTAAGATCATAGCTAAACATATATATTTGGGGAGACTAGAAGAAGCTAGCCATCTATTGAGGTAATACACATGCAGAGATAACAAAAGCATTATGCATAACCTAACATTACAGTTATTAATGTTAGACTGTGGCACGGGAGTATTGAGCCATCTTTTGATTTGCACAGTAACCAGTGAACAAGAGATTTAAGATTATCCCAAATGTTTTGCAAAATGTATAAAGTGTTTTTTGTCTTGAAACAATGTGGGCAAAATTTACAGTACACATGTTTAAAACAAAGTTGCAATTAAAAACAATGACAACCACCCTGAAAAACAATCTCAAAGGGCTGCAATTTTGCATAGTGAAGGGATAACCCTTTCCCTGCTGTTAATTTTGCTACTCAAAATATAGCTTCCCAGGTTGCCTCCCCCCCTCCCTTCCCAAAGACTTTTAGATGCTTCTTAACAGGGATGAGCAAGTATGGTCTGAAGGCAGCAGCTTTGTTGAAGCTAAGCAAGTCTTGGTTTTGTCAGTGCCTGGATAGAAGACTGCTTCAGATTTTTATACATATGGCCTTGAATTCCATAGAGAAAAAGGGTAAAATAATAATAATTAGAATCTGGAACATTGCACTCCAGTTATGAAAGAAGAGAAGGAACAGTGTTTTTTCAGCCTACTGCACATAGTTGAAGAAGAAATTGTTTCTGAGCCATCCAGAGAGCTTTGACTATTTGGCAGTATAGAAATGAAAGATACTAAATTAGATTCAGGCAAATGTTAGGAAAAGCTTCTTGATTTAAGGATTGTCTAATAGTGGGCTTCTTGTGGGACTACTATCCTTGGAGGTTTAAAAAAAACCTGTGATTTTTTAAATATCTGGTTAATTTATCTAAAGAAACTGCCCTGACAAACCTTGTTGCCTAATCACAGATATTTAGAAGATGACTAGGCTTACTCATGGTGAGATAAAAGTAGTTCCTTTTGCCTATGGGCTTTGATTTTAAAATACTTACGTTCCAGAGTTGAAACTTGACATTTGCTCCCCTTCTACTGTGTTAAACTTTTAATATATTTGACTTTTATATATTTTATTGTATTATGTTATCTTTTTATGGACTGTTATCAACTGCCCAGAAAGCACCAGCTATGGGTCAGTGGAGAAATGAAAGTAATAATAATAAAAACAGTGATAATAATAGTACCCTACAATCCAAAGCTTATTTATGGCCAGAGTTTGCTTCTTTCTACTCTACAATCCCATGCTTATCTATGTACACAATGCAAGATGATTTCACAAGGCCAAAAGTTGGCTATATTTCTTGACAAACATTGAGATATAAACTAGTCACAGGGAATAGTTCATATTGGTGGTACAGCATCTGTCCAGTACAACTGATGGTGGTGGCTGCCCACCAATGTAAAGCTGTGAGCTATCAAGCTAGGTGTGACTTTTGTGGGAGTGTACAAAAGTTTCTACTTCTGAACTTAATTGTTTACTTCCAGCAAACTTTGCATTCATATTTTCTTGAAACTGGAGAACCTGGATAGAGAGAATGTTTGCCTTCCTTTCTGAACACAAGAATGTGTGATCACCCAATGAAACTGAATAGCAGCAGATTTCAGGACAGGCAGAACGAATATTTTCAGATAATGTATTATTTTGGGTATATAACCACAGATATAAACACAGAAATTACCAATAAGTACTTCCATCAATAGCTTTAAAGAAAGATGAGATACATTCATGGAGAAGAGAAAAAACTGCGACTAGTAACCATGATAGGTAAATGGAATCTCCGAGTCTTTAAATATCAGTTGCTCAGAGGCAGGTGAAAACTATGGGCCAAATTTATAATATGCTGCTATTTCATGTCTTGCTTGCGTATTTCCTTGAACTACTTGGCTAGTCACTGTGCAGAAAGGGAATGTTGGCCTAGATTAACCAGAGGTTGGATCCTGCAAATTTCTTCATGTTCTTGTATTTGTGAGTGCTGAAAACTCTGAATGGCCCCTGAAAATCCAGAGATTCTGAATGATATTGATAGTTCATCTCCATTTTAAGCCTGATTGATTTTATTTGGTGAATTGAGCATGTGCTGAAATTTGTTGTAGTTAAAAGTGCTGTAGGGATGAATCAGATGAGGCATTTGTCACATGCTCTTGCTTGGCTGATATTTTTTAACATATAGTCAATAGGATGTCAGGAGGATCAGGACTGTGGTTTGAGGGACAGGAACTTTAAACCTCTGCCTTGACCATACTCCCAGTTGGAATTGCCTCCTCTCTTGTCGCTATTCACAGTGGGAGAAAAGATGTTTTTAAAAATCAGCCACAGAACCATACAAGAGACAGCATTTCTAGTTTGGCCATGGCAATCATTCAGCTATTGTCATACTTCTCGGGCAAATATGCCACAACCCAAGAGGTATTTGAGTATGCCAATCCGTTGCTCATGGAAGTCCCTTCTACTTTGGGAACAGTTTTGCCCCTAGATAACTGAGTTAGGAAGGAGGCATAGCATATTACCAGGGAGACTCAAATATGTTTAGGCCCGTATTTATGTCATAGCTAGGCCTATAGCCACTTACTGCATGCATGCATGCTGTAGGTTGCCTACTCTTATCTGAGAGGGAAGCTGAAACAAAAAATAAAAAGACTTATCAAAATAAAGATCATTTTGATGTCTTTTCTGATCATCAATCATGTTTTATCTTTGTGTGTGCATCATAGGAAGTGGGCGTGGTTCCTCTTTCCAGATCGATCATTTGAGATGCTGGTGAAGGTCACCTGTCCGGTTAGTATATACGTATAACAATAATTGCCAAGTTGTTAGATGCTTTCCAAATGCCTTCTTCCATTTGTTGCTTCCTGCTCTAAGATCCAGGGACAAAAGTCTCTTGGCAGTCTTATAACAGTTCAGGCTTTTGGCTGCTACCAAGACATCAGACTCTGGATTTAGTCACCAAATGGTGACCATTCCAGAATATTAACCATTTTTAAACTAGCTGTCAGGTTATTTCTTTTTAGACAAACTTTTGCAACTAAGATGTTCTTCTAATGCTATTTTAATATGCAACTATTATAATGTACTGTTGTTACATCAGGAATCTTATTGGCACTTTGTTTTTCTTTAATTGCAACCTACTTTCTGAATAGTTGCTGGAAAATGTCTGCAAATTTGCCAAAACATAATATCGGCTCCTACATATTTCTAGTGTGAAGTAAATATAATCACCATTATCAGAGAGAGAATTTCTACTGGCATCGTCTTTTAGAATTCTTTATTGTGTTATGTTTGGTAAGGGATCTAAAAGAAATTATTTTCTTTGTGTTGGGATGAGAAAAGGTTTAGAGACTTACTATTACAACGTTTATAACAATGCAGGCATGTTTACATTGGAGTGTAGCATATCATTTTTGGAACTCATTAGCCTTTAACTCTCCTAATTGTTTCCAAAATGCTGCTGAAAACAGTCAGCAACCAGCAATTTATAACAATCTAAATTCATGTACTCTCTCTGTTTAAAGGTTGTCATCTTTCCTTTGCAATAGTTGGCTTTTATGTGTTCATCCAAAACGTTGGTAGCTACTCTACTCTTCTCTTGTGCCTGCACCAGTGAAGCAGTCTAGCAGCCTCTTCGCGTGGTGCGTTTTCTTTCATTGCCATGCAAGTATGTGTGGCTGTTAGCTCTTCTCCCATTCAGAAAATATACTAAGCGGCTCTACTGTTGGAACATCTGACACCGTGCCAGAGACTGCATGAGGTTCCCACTCTTTTGTGATAACAGTATCTAGGGAACTGTTCTAATTAATGAGTTGCTGGAACTGTTTGCTGCTGTCCTGTTGAGCATGTTGAGAGCAGATATATTGCACTGTTTCCATAAATATGTTGTTGATGCTTTTAGTGTGTTGAAGGATGTAAATAAATGGTGGGGAGAGGAAAGGGCTAAAGAAGTGGTGATTGCAAGTGCACATGCTAATTGCTGGTGTAGAAAGCAAGTGTTCTTAGGACTTATTAAAGCTAATCTGTCCTGTGTCTTGTCCTTGGTCACACACTTGACACTAATGGCAATTATGAAAGTAGTGAGCTTAGAAGAATTTCCTTCTTGTATCTTTTACTTGTCTTCTGCTAATGAATACCTGTTTTTCCCTTTTATCTCAAAAATATCTTCCTTCTCTTTAGTACCTTAGAATGCCTGTCTCCCCTAGGCTTGGCTTCAGCTTGCAGTACACACAGCCAGGGGACTCCCAAAAGGCAGAGAACTTATGCTCCCTAGTCACTACCTTCTGGCATGACTGCTAGCTCAGAGCCTCTCCGGGCTGCCTGCCAGAAGCTCTTTGCCCTGTTCTTCCCTTCCAGAATCCCCTGCTGTTTTGTGGTTTTTGTTCAGTAGCCAGAAAGGAGGCTGCGTATGCATGTGTGTAGCGACTCGGAAGAGCTTGGTGGGAGGCAAATATTCCAGCGGTATAGGGTGTTGTGGGCTATGGGACTTGATACATGCATACATTCTGGTCATCTCTTGGAAGTACAGAAGAGCAGATTCCTATACATGTCCCTCAGGAGTAAGTTCAATGGGATTTACTCCCAGGCTCATGGATGGCAGCTTAAGAGCACTTTTCATGAGAGATAGGTAACTCTGAAAATAATACAACTATGTTGCATATTAATACTGTGTGCAATTCAAACATTTAAAAACTATGTATAGCTAGTATTATTTTTCCGCATTCTCATAATCATCAGGTCTGTTTGCTCCTTTGGGAGTGGTCAAGAGCAAGACCCCACTTGGGACCCCCACAGTATGCAAAAGCAGACATATATTCTTGCTAATTTATTCCATTCCCAATCATAGCTGTACAGTTAAACTTGCTGGGATAGTATAAAAGTGATTTGATCTTAGTGATGAAAGAGTGAAGTCCTTGAAGTAAACCAGCAGCACCCTTGAGTCCAGCTGAGCTTCTCTGAGTGATTCGGGCTTGTTTCTATCTAACCCAGTGAACCCAGTACTGGAATCCTTAGAGACCTGTCATGATGAATTTGCAAAAAACCTCAAGGATAAATTGCTTATCTTCATCCTGACTTGAGCACCATTATTGAAGCAGTATCTCTTGAGGTGTTTAGTGCATCACGTTATCCTGTTTTGTGCAATCACTTTCCATTTTTGGAGCCTGGAGATGCAGACAAAACACTTGCATCAATCTGCACAGCTCACTTTCCTGATTCTTGCCCTTCTTGGTTTATTCAAACTAGTCTTGCCGATCTGAATGGATGGGTCAGTGTTGAATGCTTCATTGTGTGAAGATGTGGTCCATACTACCTTGAAGGATGCAATGGTACAGTCACTTCTGAAAACAACCAATCAAGCAACCAACCCTTGATCCAGGAATCTGTGTCAACCATTATCCAGCCCCAAACTCCCTGTTTTTGAGAAAAGTGCTCAAGAGAGTGGTGGCCTCTAGGGTGCAGACACTCTTGAATTTAATGGATTATTTGGATTTTTCCAGTCTGAGTTTAGGCTCATTTTTGGAACAGAATCTGAGGAGGAACAGAAGGAATATAACCTTGTTATTTCTTCTGGATCTGTTCATGGCTTTTGACACTGTTGACCACTGTATCCTCCTGGACTGCCAATGTGAGCTGGTTCAACTTATTCATGCAAAAACAGTTCCAGAGAATAGCATTGAGTGAATGTGCCTCAGCACACTGGGGTACCACAGCGGGACCATCTTGTTCCCAGTTGGGAGCATTGTGGCAAGGGCACCAATATGTTGACGACACCCAGTTCTCTTTCTGTGTGACATCTGAATCAGGGGAGGCTGTGCGTATTCTGAGCCAGTGCCGGGTGCAGTTATGGCTTGGATGAGGGTTAATAAACAGAAGCAGAATCCTGATAAAACAGAAATCCTAACAGTTTCCATGTAATAGGAATTGGGCTGTTGATACATATTCCCCCTGAAGGTGCAGGTCCATAGTTTGATGAAATTCTTGGATCTGCCTCTTTCACTGAAGACCCAGATGATTGTGGTGGCCCAGAATTCCCATTAGCAATATTGATCAGTATGACAGCTGCACCCTTTCCTGGATAGGGCTAGCCTAGCCACACTGATCCATGCACTGATAACCTCACAATTAGATTACTGTAATGCAGCCTTCATGGGACCCCCCCTTGTGCCTGGTTCAAAAGCTGCTGCTAGTGGTTAGGAACTGCACAGTCTGCCTATTAGCCATATTGTATTTTAAATATGATTTAAATGGTTGTATGTGAATCACTTAGGCATTTTATGATATTTAGGTTGTGTACAAATACAACAAAAAGCCTTCATACACCCTGAAAATCTCTCTAGAAATCATGCAATTAACAACTTTCTAACATTCGTAATGTCCAAGCATTATTTCTGTGAATTCAGTTTTAAGAAATAAGAAGGAATGTTACTATAATGCATTTTCCTTTTCCAAAGAATTGGAAGGTTTTAGTCAATCACAATATTTTGGATGCATGAGTTATATAAAAAACAACGTAATGATCTATTTATATCCCACTCTTCTACTAAAAGTATTCAAAGTAGGGTATAACATAATCACAACCCATGTGATCAATAAAAAATCACATACAACAGTTTCTAAAAACAATAATAAAATCCAATGAACATGGAAAAGAAAGGAAAACACTAGCAGAGCAACAAGAGAAATAACCATTGTACATTAATACTAACAGCAATCAACCTAGAGTTAGACAAGAAAAGCCCATCAAACCAAACGTGTGGTGAAAGGCATGGAGTGTGATGAATTTCTCTCAACATATTCCTGAGTTCTAGCTCCACACAGAGTGCATTATAGTAATCCAGTCTGGAGGTAACTATAGCACGAAAGACTGAAGCCTGCCTTCCCTAGGTAAAGCTGCAGCTGGCATATTAGCCAAAGCTGACAAAAGCTATCCCTAGAAGCCACTATCATATATAAGAAAACTTTTGTCTTGGTTTGGGTTATGTTTCAGCTTGCTTTTCCCTGCCCTCTACTGAACTGACTCCAGATGCCCATTTATTATTTCTACTTCCTCTCTGTGGTCAGGTGCTGGGAAAAACAAGTAGAGCTGTGTATTATGTGTAGATTGATGACATTTCAGGCCACATCACTGAACAACAACTCTGAATGGTTCATGTAAACATTCACAAGAATAGGAGACAATATGGAAACCTGTGATACTCCACAGACTGTGGAGTAGAATTGCAGTCTCCATGTTCTGGGTACAATTTTCCAGATAGGAACGGAACCAGTGAAACAGCAGTAGCTTGTATACCCAACCTAGCCAGATAGCCCAGTACAATGATCAATGGTATTGAAAGTTTCTGAAGAACTCATCAGAATCAGCCAGGCAGCATACACTTTGTCCCATTACCCAGTACAGGTCATCAGCCATAGCAGTTTCTAATCCAAAACCAGGCCTTAATACATACTGGAATGGATTTAAATCATCTGTTTCATTTGTAAAACTCGGGAGTTGTGATGCAAACATGTGCAGCTAGTAATTGACGTTACGTTTGAAATGAAGAGAAAGTTTGACATGAAATGGTGGCATCTTTTTATAATATTTGACCTCTGCGCTTCTCTGAGATATATCTATTCTTTTCCCCTCCTCTAGACAATTTCAGATTGGTAAACCTAAGTCATTTCCAGAGTAACAACTTGTAACCGGCAGTATAATGCGGAAGCCAAGCCCTCAGAAAGGTAAGCTCTAATACTCTGCCCATGGAACAGTCCTTAGAAAACATAAAGGCAATTATTGATATATTTCAAATATGTTCCTTATGATAAGGCTTTTGCTTTTCTTTAAGTTACTCTGCATACCAGCTTAGTCACTGATGTTGCTCTGTTATTGATGTTGATAATACAGTTAATTTAAGTATGTCACTTGCACTAGAGAATCTCAGTTTTCTGCACACTAATAAAATTTCTGCCCATACTTAATTTTTAATAAATTTGCTATTCTTTAATGTGCAAGGACAGCTGAAGTAAGTTCTTTTGAACCTGTGTTACTGCTTTGATACCATATGTTTATATGCCCAGCATGGTGCAAGTTGGTGCTAGTTTGGCAGATGCCTCTCTCTCTTTTAATGAGGCATGAAACCAACAACCAGCCTACCTCATGGCACTTTTCTCTAGTGGCTATAATCTTTTTTTCCCAATGCAAGGGAGATTGTGATTGTGTTTGTGGCAGATTCATTCAGAGCAGTTTTTCTTTAAAGCAGTAGATTGCTTTTTGTTAGTTTCCCTTAGCCCCGATTTTGAGCATTGAGAAATGATTTTCTACATAAAGCAGAGGAGAAATTCCAATGAAGAAGGTAGAATTATTTGCCATTCTTGATAAACAACTGCTGTATGATATATATGGATTATTGCAATAACATGTCTGATTTATCTTACTGCTTTAATTTGTCTTTGCGTCTCTGCTGGTTCATCATACAGGAGTCTTTTATAGCACTACTGGTCCATTAATAAAGTAAAAGTAAGTGGAGGAAAACAGCAACCCATGTGAGCATGCTGAGGACAGCTGGAAGGCTTGATAATAAAGATGCTGCTTGATTACTCAGTAGTCTGATGGTCTCAGCTTCGATTCCATTGTTGTGTTCAGCTTCTCATTTTCTTCATGGAGTCTGAATTCCTCAGCCAATGTAGCCGTTGGTGTTTTGAGCGTTATATACTATGCTTCAAAAAGCAGCACCTGTGCTAAGCTGTTTCCTGTTAGTGCAGAAAAAAGAAAACATAAACAAACATACATTCCTTAAAGATGCTTGCTCTTCTTGGACTAAAACTATGACAATTAATATGCATACTTTTGTCAGCTTCCTCCATTATACTTTCTCAGGTCAGAGGCAGAATTATGATACTATTTTGTTAATAAATTAAAATTAAAAATAGTATTTGGTATTATAAAGTGCCTGTCACTAAGACATGGATTGGAGGAAATAATGTAACAATATAGTAATGATATTATAATTATAGCACTAAAATATTGCAGTTATACAAATAATTATAATGTTGTTTAATTACCATTTCTTGTGCAAAGTGATGTGGCTACAAATTTCCCTTGTTCTTGCTCCGTAGGAATTCACTTGTTCTGACAGTATTTAAATATATTTCCTAGTTAACTTGCTTTTTTGATCCCTAGTTATAAAGAAAATTAGTTCCTTATTTCTTTTTTAACCTAAGTAGTCAGATAAAAATACTTGAAGGATGTATCTTTTACTGCTTAACAGATGGTTGGCCCTGGGGGTGGTGGGGGAGCAAGGAGACTTCTCTCATATTCTTCTCCCTTTCTAGTTTTCTTCACTTGCACTCTGAATGCAGCCAGTTGTGTGTACTTACTATTCCTCTAAGAAACTAAACAAGCTGGTCATAAAATACTTTTGAGCAATCATTTTCCATACTCAGACTTGCTCTACAAACTCTCAGGTTGAGGACTGAAAGAGACAGAATACTGCACATGCATCCTTCCAATCCCTACAGTTCAGAATCATAAGTAGCATCTTCTGTGTGCATTCTTGAGTAATTCCCACTTGGACCATGTCATGGGGAAGGGCTGTGCTGTCACTGTATTCTGAACAGAACTGCAGAGGGGGGAAAGACTTCAACCCTTGTCCTCCCATGCTGGGGTCCTTATCAGGTTCGTTGGCCAAGGGCAGAGGAGCATCTCATGACAGCTGTTACAATAAAATAAAATCAGCCAAGCAGGGGCAAACCATGTGATAAATGTTACATTTAGTTTTGTTCTGTGCCACCCATAAGAGGAAAAAAAAGGATAGTGCTATTTGTTTTTAGTGTTTCTGTATTTTGTTGTTATTACTAGTGATACTGTATTTTATTGTTACTATTATTAGCCAGAGTAGCTTAGGAAGCTCAATAATGTGACAGTCCCTGCCATCAGTCTTACAATCTAAAAGGCATAACACAAAAGGAAAAGGGATTGGGAGAAAGGAGGATGTTTGGAATGAGCAAGTTTTGAATGTAGATGAGATGTCAGAAAGCTTCTCTCAGAATAAATGCATTGGTCTCTAAACGTGTTGGTGCTACAAGACTCTTCATTGTTTTAAAAGAGAACACTCAACATTACTTACTCCAATTCAATGTTTTCCCAATATATTTTATGGAACAGCATTATTTGTATTTCAGACATGTTTTGCTGTGTTTCTCAATAAGGCTCAATTTCCATAACTCCTGGAATTTCAACAAGTGGGTTAAAGCAGTTTGGTTGGCCAGTTGCATTAGAAGAAATAGCCACCCTCTGTGTTGCATCAAGATCATAAAGTGATAGCAAAGTTGTATTAGCTATAGTGATGACAAAAGTGCTCCCTCACAATTTTTCTCGTGTTAAATTACCTAAATCTCCTGAACCCAATCCCAATCCAAAACAATCTGAATTCCACCATCCCCATTAACCAGACCCTGGGTGAGTTGCCAGATACAGAAGGCTACACCATTGCATGTTGTAGTGGGGTGAAACATACTAGATACAGCAAAATGGTATTCTGTTTTTAACAGCTTACATCTTGACACATCAGAAGAACTGTCAGTTGACCATTTGAATGATGTCTGGTGAGTATGGGGAGAAATACTTGCTTCTTCTTTAGTTCTCCTGAATCCCAGTAGAGCTTCTGACAGAGACCTGAGAAAAAAAGCAAAGACTAAGGAAAATGAAGATTTTCCCCTGATTTGCTTTTGATTATAATGAAAAGGGAAGATATTGCTACTTGAGGTTGGCTTTTGAAACTCACTATTTTAAAACATATCCTGTGGTTTTTTTAAAACCAGTGGTTGCATTCAGTTTTTGCTTGAGCTTCACCAAGGAACAGTGTGCAACATGTGCATGTTTGCTTATTTCATAAGAAAGCTGAAGTAACTTGATTTCTCACATGTTTGTGGGATTCTCTCTCTCTCTCTTGCCTTCTCTGGTTTTAGCAATAGACTGGAAAGATGGAAAAAAGCACAAGTATGGGCGCCTGTCAGAACCTCCTTCGCAGTACCAAGGTATGAACAGATCCATATTGTTCCATTCATTTTTAAGTACAGCAGTGTTTCCTCAACTGGCCCTAAAAGAAAAGGAGCTTCTAAGTAGAAAAATAATTTTAATGAGCCATCTGAAGATAAGAAACTGTCTGAGACTGAGCCAGACTATGAGATCAACTAGCCCCAGGGTCTCAGGCAGAGGTCTTCTCTGTGCTTTGAGATCTTTTAAATGGAGATGCCAGAGATTCAGTTAAAGCAAACGTTCTTCTACCAAGCTAGGGCTCCTGCTTGACTTTGGTCTAGAAGTATGTAAATACTACGGTTCTGCAGAGCAATTCTGCTTCTGTCTGATGAATCTTTGTTAGCAGACTACTCGAAGCCGATGCAGAAACTGCCATAATAAATGATGATGATGATAAATGAACCCCTGCTCATCAAAATACACAGTGTTCATACAACAAGGGTGCAGAAGTTGGTTCCCACTTGGAGCTGAAGATACAAGCTGTTTGCATTGAAAAGCATTGTGTCTGCGGTCACATAAAACTTCTCTACTGTTGAATATTGCTGCGATGAACATGGCATATGTGAGCTAGCCCAGAGGGAGGGATTCTTTTTGGCTGCTTCACAGTTACAGAATTTTTCTGTCCTGGCAAATAGCCAGAGAATAGAAACAGTGGCGTTGAAACACAAATAGAGCAAAGCCAAGTTTTCAGTGACTATCATAAGCAGGATCCCTAGTTGGCAAGAGGCCTATCCAAAGTTAGCTTGTGGCTATCTTTGAAGATTCAGATAAGTTGAGTTCATAATTACCTTGCACTTCTTATCATGGTTTGATCCCAATTTGTGTGAAGTTCTTTCATTGGGAAACAGTTCTCAGTGAATCGTCCCGGTGTATTTCAGCTGTCACTGCTTCGGCAAAAGGAGCAGCAGAAAAAAGAGCAAGTATCAGGAATAACAGCAAGATGGTCAGCCAAAAAATAGCTGTGTTAACAGGTTAAAATAGCTCCAACTGCCATACCAACTACCATTAGTAGCTTTGCCCAGGTTCCATCCAAGTGCCATTCTAAAGAATCAGGTTCTTCTTTTATCTCTCTGGTAGTTATAGACAGAGCCGTTGCTAGCTGCTACAGCTGAAAGTCTAGTTTGTAATATTATTTATAAAGTGCATCAAATCTAACTGTTGCACAAAAATTAAAAATGTGAGTTATGCTCTGCTTGCAGGCATACAGAGTGCTGAGATAAGAATGGAAAATAGAGACACAGAAGTGGAAAGAAGAAATAAAGGGAAACTGCTAGCTTATCTTGAGTAGACAGGCTTTCTGGAGAATAACTCATAGTTATTACCAATCAGGGCACTCTTGAATAAGAAAGTAACAGAAGAAAATTTAGCATAACCAACTTTCTTACTGACTAGTGAAAGAAGCCCTGCCCCTGCTTTTCTAAGGACCAGAGAGCATGTGATGGGAAAGGCTTATGCTTTCTGGGGCCCTAACAAGTCACTGCCTTTCAGAGTAGGCAGTATTGAACTAGATAAACAGCCTCACTTGTTATAAAGAAGTATCCACCTCTTAGATGATACCTGTATAACATAGTTGCTCCATCAGGCAGCCATTGCTAGTTAAGATTTTAAGAGAAGCTAGATCTCCACCTGTCATTGCAAGAAGAGTTTTTTCATCGCCATCAAATATTACAGGTGGTAGTATGGTAGCTGTCCATATAGTGGGAGCCAAATACTTAACTAGTCATTCTGTCACATTCATTGCCACACAGTGTCCTGATGCTAGCTACTAATTTGGATGGATTTAAAAGCAGACAAGATAAATTCGTTGAGGAAAGGCCTATCTGCAGCCTTTGGTTATGGCAACTAAATGGAGCCTTCATATCCCAAGTCACTAAATACCAGGTGGGGGAGACCTAGTTCCATATTTCCTTATGGCTATTTCAAAAGCCTGTGGTTGGCTTCTGTGGAAGACAAGATGTTGGATTCTGTGGATCTTTGGAGCTATATCTTGCACCGTTCTTTTTTTGTTCACATTTTACAGTTGGGGTGTTTCAGGAAGAGTAGCAGCAGGTGGGGAAAGTTGTGGCAGGTTGTAATGTATTTGTATAACGTACCTCCTACGTTGTCAGTATGAACCATATGTGATAGAGTAGCAGTTTGAACAGGTCCAAAGCAAAAAGATGGAATAAGAAACTGTGCTGCTATTGAAAGCAAGCTCAACAATTATCAAACTATATTGAAGCTAATTGTTGCATAACAATGAAAACAACATTCTTTTAATTCTCTTGTAGAATAAAAATGGGCTTTCTGCCTTTAAAAGGCATATGTTCATTGTACAATAGTGTTCCATGTGTAGCACAGGACACTGTTAAAGGTGTATGTTGCCTTGGCTTTTGTATTACCTATTGTTTTTTACTGCCCATATCTGCAAGCTTAACCATTTTCATTTATCTTGTATTACATTGTGAAACCTACTGAAAACCTAGCATTTGTAATATAGGAGACCTATTAATGATTCTTAATTTATGTTGTCTTTGCCTAGTAACTAGAAACACAGGTCTCTTGAACATTTAGATGTAAAAGTCTAATTTAGTACAGAGGTGAGGGAACAAGCCACCGTTTATTTTTCATTCTAAGTGCTAGGACTCTTACAGTGTGATCAAAAGCATATTTTCCCAGAGGAAAGGTCTACCAACTAGTGAGACTTAACTTTCTTCCAAGTACAGTTAAGATTGGGTATTTTATGTATATATCTCATTCAGAAACTTGCCTCTTAGGTGGCATAACTGTTTTTAAACTAATTGTATTTATAGTCTTGCCTGTTGGTCCAAGTTCCATTTTGTCAAGAGTCTCAGCCACAAACTGTATGAGTCAAGTACAGGTTTAATTGGTTTATTAAGACATAGAGAAAGTCTTAGGAAGTATGCCCGGAGGATGGTATGGAAATATATGCTGCAGTTTTACTGGTGAAGCAAACAAAGCAGGTCTGACCTTTTAAGCCATTTCAGTAGGAAGCCAGCAAGGAAAAATGCACATACTACTCTGTGTTTTAGGGGTGGGGCATGCAACACTGTATAACTGCAGTGCTTAAATACAAACCTAAATTAGGGTTGAGGTATACAGTTGTTATTGGCTGTCCACTTAAGTTTTGTCCACCTCTGCAGGTCATTCTGTACTGTAATCTTAAACAGTTATTTGCATGCATGGCATTCCATCACTCAACTGGCAGTTTGCTTCACCCACCCAGAGTGCTGCTGCACAGTTTTCAGCATCCTGGGCATGGGGAAAATATTAACTGGGCAATTAAAGGTCTGGCATTAAAATTTTAAGATGAATCATTTTCCAAAGTGATTTTCAAAGCTTCCATTGCAGTCAACTTTTTCCCTCCTTTACGCAGGTCACTTTGCTTGGGATAAATACTTGAAAGAAACATGTTCCATCCCAGCTCCTGCCCATTGCTTCAAGCAGGTAATGGAGCATTTGGTGTTGTATAAGAGTTGGGATGAAGGGGTCTGTGTCTCGTCAGTTCATGGGCGAGTGTGGAATAGACTCTTGTACCTTCTCTTTGTGGGGAAGGAGCGACTGATGCAGGTATTGGGTTGTAAATTATATTAGATAACAGCTGAAAATGGGTGCACTCACATGAGGTACAGGATTGATCAAGTATCTTGGGAGTCTTAGTTCACAAGTGGGTTGGAAGGAGAATTATCATTGTGGTAGTGACTTGATTTTTTCCCCACTTGTTCCTTACTCCTATTTCTTTCTCATTGCTTATTGTGACATCTGACTCTGAAGATTCTCTTGGCAAGCAGGTGCCAAGGACAATTCAGAGGAGGTTTGAGAGAGGAGGGAAAATTTGTGACTCATGTCTTAAGTGTGACTGAAAGCCTTATTTTCCTCAGTCATACACACCACCAACCAATGAATTCAAGATCAGCATGAAGCTAGAAGCCCAGGACCCCAGAAACACCACTTCTACTTGCATTGCTACTGTGGTGGGACTCACAGGTGCCCGTCTCCGATTGCGCCTGGATGGCAGTGACAATAAGAATGACTTTTGGCGTCTTGTGGATTCTGCAGAAATTCAGCCCATTGGCAACTGTGAAAAGAATGGAGGGATGCTGCAGCCCCCTTTGGGTGAGTTGGATCCCTGTTTTCACCAAGGATTGCAACTGAGGATTGTCGTTTATCTGCTATAAAAACTATTAAAACTGCAGTAAACACTGTGACAGGATAACAAAATCAGTGTGGAGAAAGGTGGTTTACTTAGAAATATCTAACTGCCCCAGCTCTTGTTTCTTTGCAGGATTGAGAACAATGGATCAAACCATTAACTGTTGAAAATAGGTGTATTGTAATTTCTGGCAATTCTGATTTGTACTTTCACTGTGAGCTCCAATCCAGTTTGTTACAAACCCCTCCTGGCTTGATAATCCTTCTTTGAGAAGGAACTCCTTCTCCAAGGTGGCTTTCTCACTTAAGGGGTTGATGTTACTAAAAGGTGGCCATGTGTAATCTTAATGAAGCTAAGCTTAATAAAAGCTTAATAAAACTGTAAGCTAAGCTTAATAAAACTGTAATTTGATTTGACCTTCATTCTGCTTCTATTTGGACATGGCTGACTTTGTGCAGGCATAGAGCTTAAGGTAAAGATATTGAGATGGTCAGATCAAATCTTTAGCATTAAGTTAAGTTAGCCTCCAGCCAGTTAGTCCTATACCATCCTGAGACAGAAACATGGCTGGACACAGAACAAAGTTGAAAAGGTCCTCATAGTTTTGTATTCCCCATGCATTCTCTGATAGCCTTAGAGGATCTACCCCTGTTGGGAAAGAAATAATTTTCCATTACTCCAGTGGTAATGAAGGCTATCTTGCAAGCAGCTCCATAAAGTTACTGTTTTTCATGTTTGTTATTTCTCTAGTCTGCCACTACACAGTGTTTTGTAAACATCTGGGAGCTTAGATCTTAACAGCCTCCGAGTATCCATGGCCCTGCTGAGTTTCTGTCAGCAGGGCTGGAGGAGTGATAAAGACAACTTTCACTCTCCATCCTCCTTTTACAGACTTTTCTATGGAAAACTTTTCCTCTTAGTCTTTTTTTCAGAAGCTGCAAAGCTCCTTCAGAAGGATCCATGATACTGTGTTGCAATCAAGTGTACTGCAGATTGCATGTGGTTGATCACTTCTTTGAATATACTGGTACACAAAAATGATACCACCAGAATGTTGGCTCTTTTGAATAGAATTCTTATCCTTCCCTTTACCCAGGAAGTAAATGGAACCAGAATACAAGAGCAGTTGTTCATATCTTGATACCACTTGTTTCTAAACCCACTGTAAACACACCATAATTTAACAACCACTCCTACCTGCTGGTTTTTTTATTTATCACAAAGCAATCTAAAATCGCCAATTAGTGTCTTACACACTGGTACAAACATCTATACCAGTTCCTTTTGCATTTTCTTCCAAATTTCTGTGTATTGTACCTATTAAAAATATGGCATACTTAGCAAAATGGATTAGGAAATAGCATGAGGTAAGCTCAGCTTTTAACTTGGATCATTCTAGAGCAGACATGCTTGATTTTTAGTAGGTAATTTTTAATGAGAATGTTTGCTAAATGCTTTAACAGAGACATCATGGGGCCTTCTTAATGGAAGAATGACTAGTTTGGAGGAGCTGTCTTCAGTGGCTGTTATGCAATTTATAGTCTTCCATCTCTGTTTCAGGGTTTCGGCTGAATGCTTCCTCTTGGCCCATGTTTCTCCTGAAGACTCTGAATGGAGCAGAAATGGCTCCTGTTCGGATTTTTCATAAGGTAACTGTAGTGCATGACTCACATCATTTCTTATTCTGAAGAACATGATTTGATGTGATAAAACGAGTTTGGTTGTCTTTGTGTTTGGCGTCCCATTTATCCAGAAGGTGCTGGGATGGAACCTCTCTTCCTGCCTACTTCTTAACAGGAGGTATTAATACAGATTTTAAAACCCTAAATTTCTGATATTCTGAATGTATGGCTGAAGTTCATTGTTTTGATGTGTAGATATCCTGAATGGCACTTGCACTAACTTTCATAAGTGGAAACAAACAAACAGGAGGGAGGCAAAAGGCAAGGCTGGGAATGTTGTTCTGGTAATAATTCAGCTGGACAGCACAGCATGGTAAGGCATGCCAGAGAACCAGTAATTAGCAGACTGTTGTAGAGAGCGAGAGTTGTCAGTGTACAAACAAAAGATTGAATTCTAGTGTACGGATTTGGTTCACTTCTATTAAAAGCCTTTAAAGGTTGTGGAATCAGATTCTAAGTCAGACAAGAGTTGGGTTGAGAATCCGCAGCTGAAATGCCAAGACCAGTGGACTCAGACATAAGCTAGGCAGTTGCTGATAATCAGACGGTTTCAAATTCTGTGGGAAAGTTTAGTGAGCATGCGAATATGGGGTAGCAGGGAAACCTAACATCATTAATCTGAGGATGCAGCATCAAGTTAAAAGGGCAGGCAAGGTGAAACATGTCGAATGCTCCAAGCAACTGTGTTTTTTAGCAAGATCTGCCCTGAAGGTGTAGTTTGCTTTCTTCAGTTTGGAAGAGAAGAGGGGAAAGTAGCTTGGAATCAACTTTTTATCATTGGAGCAATGGAAGAATAGAGCCAATTATCTAGGGAGGTTGTGGGCTCTCCAGCACTAGAAATATTCAAGATGCAACTGGACAGCCATCTGAGAGGGCTGCTTTAACTTGGTGTCCTGCGCTGAGCAGGGAGTTGGACCCAATGGCCTTCTGGTCCCTTCCAAATCTACTATTCTGTGATTAAACTGGCCACTATTCTTTGATTCTTTTGTTACTGACTTCTGAAATATTATTCTTTTGTACTACAAAACCCATCTAGCTCATCAGCTTTAATGTAATGAAGCCTTTTAGTTAGAAAGCCTTTATCCCAGTCTGCTTAGAAAAAGAAGGAGAAAGAGAAAAATGGTCAGGCCACTTGGTACTTTTTCATTTAGGAGAACATGATTTGCAAAATTGGTTGACTAGATGGAGGATTAGCTTCCTCAATTAAATATTTACTTACATCCTAGTATGTCAGTCTAGGTTGATAGCAGAAAATTAATCTTGGGTCTGTTTTTAGAAGTAAAATTAATACAGTCCAAGGAAAGTAAGCCATACTTCAGTGGTTCTTCTGAACCTGGCCTGTTGAAGCATTTGGGTTCTTCTTCCGAAGAAATTGCCTTTTTTATTATGGTTCTGTTCTTTTACATTTTGTTCTATTTTGTTATATTTGGTTTTGTTCTTTTAAATTGATTTTTGTGGGAATGTCTCTTCAACTTCTGTTAACTGCTTGGAAAGCCTTGCCTATTGGGTGATATAAAAATGAAATAAATGCAGTTTTTGACTACCCTTCAAATACTTGGCGTTGGTTTTTTAAATTCTTTATGCAGGGGCTTGTTGAGACACTGGGGCTAATGAGTCAGTTCCAGTCTTCATTATCTGTTGGCAGACTAGAGCTGTAGAAAGATGTGTGTATATACATGTAGGTGTGTGTGCTAACTGAGATACAGCTCATAGAGTTTGTTTGCTTGTTCTTTTGCCTCCCCCCGCCCCAGGAACCACCATCTCCATCCCAAAACTTCTTTAAGATGGGGATGAAACTGGAGGCAGTAGACAGGAAAAACCCTCACTTCATCTGCCCAGCCACCATTGGTGAGGTGCGAGGTTCTGAGGTCCTCATCACTTTTGATGGCTGGAGGGGAGCCTTTGATTACTGGTGCCGCTATGATTCTCGCGACATCTTTCCCGTCGGCTGGTGTTCACTGACTGGAGACAACTTGCAACCCCCTGGAACAAAAGGTAAAAAAAGCCTATCACTTACCCCTGGAAACAAAACAGAGTGCCTGTGTGGTGTCAACGTAACAATGAACGTGTCTCTAATGGAAGGGGTTTTTTTAAGGCGTAAGTACCCTGTTAAAGCAAGCTAACGGTGGTGAGCAAGAGCGAGTTTGTGCATCTATCTCAAATCCAAACATGTAATTGTAGGTCTGTTTCACTGCCTTCTGCTGCCCAAAAGTGGATGTCATCTGACTTTCCTGGGAATCACTTAGAGTCGAGATGATATGTTAAATGTTAGGATACGATGTGTTAATAGAGTGAAAAACAGGTCTCAGTGAAACACTTGCTACAACTTTTCTCTTCCTCTGTACTCCTTTCCTTTATGGCTGTGGATTCTGTAAATATCAAGCTGGGAGACTTTGGAGTCTTCCCAGTAGTCATAGTTTTGATGGCCACTACAACCAACACCAACATATTTTCATATTTCCTTACACCACTGAAGAGTACTCCAGCTTACAAACATCTGGGTTAGGTTGTATCCTCACAGCAGCATCCCATAATACTAGCTGTATGTCACAACAATAAACAGTGCTGGTGTCCATAATCCATAAATATTAGTTCGAAGCAGCTAGACATTACTTGTGCTTGCTACCCACCCATCTCCTCCCTGAGATCCCTGGCACATGCAGAGAAATTGGGTGAGAAGTGTGGATGGAAGCATTTCATACTGTACTGCCTGTGGAAACAATGCAGACCGCCTCATCCTTTCGTCTAATTCCACACGCAGCGCTTTGGAGCATATACCCAGAAACTTGCTCTGGGTTCTTTACAATTACTGAAAAGTTGAAGGGAAGGGAACCTGAGTGTTTTGAGCAGCATAGAGTACAATGGCAGAAGGCCTGAAGCATTTTTTCCTGGTAATTGGTAACTGGAGCCCTGACTAGAATTAAGTCATGAAAAGAAAGTGCTATGTTTTTGGTTTGGGGGTTTTTTCCCCCCATCTTGCTCTGTGTCATTTTCTGAGTGCTAGACTTACTCCCCTGCCTCCAGCCCATGGACCATGTTGATTCCTGGACTGATGGCGCTCTGTATGGCAGAGAATAGTAAATTTTATGTTAGGGGAACCACCAGTGTTCATATGATTCCTCTTAACATTTAAATTATTGTTGTCAAAACTGTTCAAATAATATTCTCCAGCAACAGGTTTAAGTATAGCCAAAAACAAGGCTTTGCAAATATGGACTCACTTTAATTGTTTGCATTCTTAACTTCATCCCAAGAGTTTATCTGGTTTGGCCATAAAACCACTGGATCATTTTTGCTTCTTTAGCACTAGAAGGAGCAGAGTATCTGTATATCTTCAGCTCACAGGAGCAACCAGCTTCAGCTGTGTAATGTTGATAAATAAGAAATCCTACTTCATATAAGAGAAAGCTGTGATGTCCAGGCCAATGCCTAAGTTTGCAGTGTTCCTAGCACCTTATCCTATGTCTCATGTATGGTAACTGTCAGACTCTCAATCAATTTCAATAAAAGACCTCTGGGAAATGTCAGAAAATGTTAATATTTATTGCTAAATGAAGAATGACCACAGCATTTGATTAAGGATGTATAGTTTTGTCTTTACTTCTATCGATACGTATCGACATTTAGGAAAGCCCATGATAAATCTCCCAAACAATCCTAATGATACTCTTACAAATGCCGTAAAATACTTTTCTCAAGCAACCATTTCTACCCAAAAAATATATTAAAAAAGAGTAGTACCTCAGGGAATCTCTCACACTTTCCCTCACAGCCCTGCTGATCAGCTCAACTACCTGGAAAAGATGGCTGTTCAGGTGCTGCACTGCTATAACAGGAAAAGATGGCTGCACTGTGACCCTGCATCACTTGGGGCAGTGAAAGAGATCCTCTCCCTCCCTCAGTGGCTGCAAAACAAAATGCTAAGGAGGAGTGTTAGGAAGGGGGCAAGGTGTATGTCTATGTGTATGAAGCTGTCCATGTACAGCCCCCAGCCAACTGCCTGTCATTGCATATACCCCTTGGGATTAGAAATGTTGGGCATTCCTGTTTTTAAGTGGCCCATTGGCACGAGTATGTCCCTCACTACAGCTGCTAATCTTTCTGCATCCCTCTGTCTTTTTAGGTTGACAATACTTCTAATTTATAATACTTCTTTTAAAAGCATTATATCACAGTCTCTCTAGTGATTTGGTAACTATCTTCCATATATTCTGTGGTTTCACCTCTTGTGATTTTTCAGCTCATGGAGAAGGCACTGGGTGGTAGTAGTAAAGAGAGGAAGCACAAGTTAATATCTGAGATGCCTGGTTTAGTGACCTGTGGCTTTGTTGAGTCTTAAGGGATGGAGGAGTACAATCACATAATAATGGGAAAGAAAATACAGGAGTGGCTGTTACTGTCTTGCTTTCTGACACTGTCCCAATTTTTAACATAAAATGTTAAACATTACTGGTACCTGTCAACACTCATGGAATTTCCAACCATTAATGATAGGGTGCTCAACCTTCAGTTGCATCCTCAAGCTTTTCTTCTTGGGCACAAAGTGGCAGCAACCCCTCCTAGAGCTGTTCAATGAAAGGGCCTCGCATACAACATTTGCGTGGCAGGGTCACAAGAGTTAACTACCTTTGGCAGACTATGAACCCAAGGCTGTCTTCTGCTTTATCAAGAAATCTGGAATGTAGAAGAGCAGAGTGTCTGCCTTGGCACTCTCCCAGCTGGCAGGGATGCAGTCAGTTCCTGCCAAGCAAAGAAGACCTAAGGAAGGATGCACCCCCTTCATTACTGTGCCAAGGGCAATGAACGTTACACTGGTTTACAGGAGAGATCATAATTGCAGGCGCTTGCCCCAGTTTCCTTTGTTCCTGTTAATGCAGTCAGCCCATTCAAGATGACTTTACTCTGCTCAGCAGGCAAGCAAAAGTTAATCGTTTTTAAGTTACCATGGAGATGTGTTAAGTGGCACCATACATTCTTCTTGTACTTGTCAGCCATTTTTCCAAACAATTGTGAACAGATTAAAGGTCCTGCAAGCTTTACTTCAGTTGTCTGGAAGGGAGAGCCGCTTCAGGTAGAAATTCAGAGAAGTGAAATCTCTGTCAGAGGACCTGTAAGCATTTGGACCTCCTCCACTGAGTAGCATACCTTGAGTTGGACTGCTAGGAGATGAATAAGCCAAAGTGACTTTGTAGAATTGCCTCTAAGGACACAAAGGTAACAGATTTTGACATCTCTTTTTAGTTGTTTTCTAGTAATCCCTGCTTTTGTCCTCTTGGACGAAGGAGCAGAATATTAGGGACATGACTATCTTAGGTAGAAGCAATAAATAATAATAATAATAATAATAATAATAATAATAATAATAATAATAGTAATAATAATGGAAGCATTAAAATGTTTTTTCTGATAGTAAATAGAAGGTTGTTAACTTGTAGAATTTTAGGAATTTGCTTGCATTTGAATATCAGTAGGAATTCTGTGAAAAAGCAGCTCTCCAAACCTTAGGGAAAGCAGTGCTGAAGCAGCCTGTTTGTACTGTCACCACTGACTGCTTCTGGGGGTTTCGTCCTTGAACGGTGTTAAAATTATGCAAGTGTTATCTGTGTGTCTTTAAATGATCTCTGTACTGCCTTCCTGCAAAGCTTCTAGGCTGGTAGACAAAACAGGATAAAATACAAAAATAAATTGTTTTTTAGGTAATGCTTTAATACATGTTAAATAATGCATACAAATGCTTGTTTAATAAATAAATGTCAAATGTTAAAGTAATGCATTCAAAAGCCTGGGAGAATAGAAAAGCCTTTATTTTGTACTGAAAAGCTAACACTATTAACCCCAGGCAACCTTTCCTGGAGAGATAATTTCACAAAGGGAGTACCGTCATAGAGAAGGCACTCTCTGCTCACCACCCAACTTACTACAGATAATTGTAGCACCTGGAGCAGAATATCTGAAAGTGACCTCAGTCCAAGAGCATGTTGGTATAAGAGCAGGTGTTCCTTCAGTTTCTTGGATCCTACGTTGTATATGGCTTTAAAGATAAGGACCCACACTTTGATTCGTATTTGGAAATGACAAGAAGCCACTGAAATTCCAGTAGTTCCAGTCAACTGCCAGGGCACCTAAAGGATACTGACTGCAGTTCCCAGACATTCCCGGCATATAATGTATTAATCCATCCTAAATATTTCTCACTGCATGGATAGCTGTAGTCTAGCTATCATAGTTCAGGAAAAGTTGGGACTGATGTACTAGGCTAAGCTGATGGAAGACAGGTTAGTGGGCATCCTATGTCAAACTGAATCCAGGAGTACCCATACATAATGAACTTGATCCTTGAGGGAGAATAGGATCAAGAATACAGAATATTCTACCCTGTACAGAATAGGCTGAAGAATAGGCTGAATACTATCTCTTTGAGCATACAAACTACCTGGCAACAGGACCTCCATCTTATCAGGATCAGGTTTCAGTTTTTTGACACTTATTCAGCCCAAGCACAAGTTCAGCATTTCCTCTGCCTTACCTGGAGTTGTGCAAGCACCGTCCACCTTAATATTCTATTCCAGAAGATATTAGCAAATGCATAGGTTAGATTTATTTAGGAGCTATCTCCTATGCATTGACATTCAAAAAGAAAGTGGACTGTCATCTGAGTGGCAAATTGGTGGCCTGCAACAGAAGGGGCTGGACCTGATGGCCTTCTTAGCCCCTTTCAGCTCTACGATTCTTTGATTCCTGAATGATCTGCAGAGAGGTCTATTCCTCTCAGAAGAACTCAAATCTGGAAATGCCTGTAATTTCAGTCATATTGTTGGCAATAAACTAGCCAGGCTTGGAATCGGCAAAGCACAGGATTATTGTGCCTAACCCCTATTACCATTATTCGCTAATAAGTTGAAGGGAAATGATATGTTTCCATAAGCAGCACTGAGGTCAACAGATGCAGGCATGCAAGGTCTTGCAATAAGTTGAAAGGATCGCAAAATTTAGAGCTGTGACCCACCCACCCCCCACAGCCTCCTAAAGCAGCAGATAATTAGAAATTGGGCTGTGGTGCTATAGAGAAACTCCATGAGAATAATAGGAAGACAGGAAGGTTGTTACAGATGCAACTAATGAAGCCTGATTATTTGTGTGGATTTTTGTCCTTAGGTATTCCTCTCAAAGCCTCACAAATGATCCTACTGGGAAAAATGGTTTATCCTCCCTTTTTATGTCACGATTGCTTAGTAGGTGAACATTCCTTGACATGGTTCTGTGAATCACACACACGGTCCTTGCGGTTAATCTCAAGTCAACTCTGAACTAGCAAAATGTTCCACACAGTCCTCCTGGCAGTAACTCCTTTAGGTATAACTACTTTAGATATGACTGTTGGACTGCTACCTTTTGGATGCAAACAACATATTCTTGAATTAGGGACCGAAGCACATTGTGTGGAAAGGAATTGTTAGTTGTATGGTGGCGTACAGGACTGTATTTGGAGATGAAAAACATAGATTTTATTAGAGTGGTGGGGTGTTGGCTCAGATACAGGTGGACCTGGCATTAGGGAGTGCTTAACAGACAGAGTATACAACTATTGTCACCTCAGTTGTAAGTTTATGATCTAAAGAATTTTCTTTAATCACTTTAGAGTAGATGTAAATTGTATCCCTCTGCAGTGTACATGAAAAGGGCTCTTCACTTGGCAAATAAAAAAGACTTGAAGTAAAGAAAATGTAGTATGGAAAAGGAAGCAACCAGTCACAGTAAAGTTTACCTTTTGGAAAGCAAAAAAGCAGCAGCAGCAGCAGCCTGGTTCCCAATAGGAGTGGCAAATAGTACTTATTCTGCCCTTTCATGGGGGTATTCTGTTTTGAAAGGAACATGGTGGTGGTATTCTTTGCATTGATTTATGTCCAGTCTTTAGTAGGAATAATCAAGTTATAGTTTGCACTGGAGCTTCTGCATGAACCATGCAGAACATGGTGTATGAGCTGCAGAAATTTCCCATGTTTCTTAGATTCTACTCTAGAGCTTATTATTCTAATGAACAAATTGCCATAAAAACACTTCTAGAAAACTTTGGAACTAAACATTAATCCTGTCCTTGGAACAAGTACAGAGCATTCTTGTTCCCTTGGAGGTGGCCTATGATCACCTGAGGGTTTATTTAAATTAGTCTATTGTAGCTGAGTTCACATGCTGCACATTTCATTCATTGGAAGTTAACTCACCATCTATATAATGATGCATTATACCATCGTAGAAGTGCAATACCCTTCTCTTTAAAATCTCACAAAGAAATGTAAGAAAGACAGTAAAACAATAGTCTAATGGCATACTTACATCTTAAAAATACACTGTGGAAGAAACTTTTGTGGGTCAAAGCCCATTTCATCCATTGACATGTGATACATTCAGTATGCCTGTACACATGTAAATACAGATCTTGGACCTAGGCACAAGGTGCTCCATGGAATTGCTGCCATTTTCACTTAAACCACAAATAAATCACCTGCTGGACTCAAACATGAATCAAAGACTATAAGCTTTATTACAAAACATGCAAGACTCCAAACATAACACTTTGATACAAAATACAGATAACCCAATTAAGCTCAGTATGACAACTATCACATTAAATATAACAAGAGGATGAGAAAGTAGACAGTTGCAGAAGTGAGCAGCAATGGCTGCCAGATGAGACAGAGAGGGTGGTAGGGATTTGACTGCTAGTGTTGGTGGTTGGGCAAACTTGGAATGGGCAGCACAGAATGGAGAGGTAGAATGGAGAGTTGAAAGTTAAATGGGACTGGAGGGAGAGAAGACTGAAGCACAAATTTATTTATTTATTTATTATTTAAAGAATTTATAGGCCACCCCATACTTGTGTCACTGGATGGTTTACAACAAGCACAGACAAAAATGGCACAGCATCCAGCAATTCACAATAAAATCACAATTAAACATTAAAATAATGGGAGAATGAAAAGGTTTTTGACTGGCGCCAAAAAGAAAATGTTGGTGCCAGGTGAACCTCTCTGAGGAATGTACTCCACAATCAGGAATCTACCACAGAGAGGGCCCTTCTCTTTCAAGGAGGGTTCCCGCAATGCTTCCCTGTTTCAAAAGAAAAGGGGTGTAAGGCATTCACCAAGGCTTAGATGGTATTGAGTCATGATGTAATGCTGGGAACAAATAACTCTGTTTCTGCAAAGAACAATATATTTTAGTTTCCAGGTAAGCAAACACATAGTTTGTACAAGGTAGCAGGCCAGCACAAGTTAATTTACCTACAGGGACTTTTGCAGTATGCTGGGCACCTGCATGGGTACCCAGCTTGTTGTACGAGCTTGTCATGTCATGTGAACACAAGTAGCAGAGATTATTTGCTGGTTGCATAGACCTAAAGCCATAACCCATGGCTTTTTAAGGGTTTTTTGAGGTTTGTCTTAACTCTTAAACAATCCTTGTCCCCTGAGTTCACCTAGACCCGTGGAACCATGGTGCCTGGCACAATATGACACATTCACAGAGAAGAATGTTAAATCTACTTCCATTTTAAAATTGTACAATCAAGCATCCCTCTTTAAAAGTTTGGAAGTTGTCCGTCAGGTAGGGTTGTCTATGAAAAAGAAAAGGCATGGCCAAGGTTATCATTGGAACATAACCTTTTGGTCTAGTCTCTGACCATAATAAAGATTTATTATTATTAAAAGCCTTGATTTGTGATAATTGTTTGTCAAAGTAAGTATGGCAGTCCTTCAAGATACCCCACTTGTAGTAGTTGAGTATTCAGATGTCCAAGAAGGTGCTTTTTATGAGATTATGTTAGCACTTGATTGATTTCTGTTTCTCTTCTATGCTAGTGGTGATTCCAAAGAGCCCATTCCCACCCCCTGATGTAATCTCTGAAAAGAGCAGCATGCACAGTGGCACAAAGACTATTTTGGAACATCAGACAGGACAAAGGGGGCGCAAGCCTGGTCGTAAACGAGGCCGGACACCAAAGGCTCTGACCAGTCATCCTATCCCCACCCCTTCCAAGGTAGTAGAGCCTTTGAAATTCCCCAAGAAGAGGGGACCAAAGCCTGGCAGTAAGGTAGGTGATAGTTATGTGTGGCTGATGTGAAGGACTGCAGTTGGCCTCCATTTGGCGTGTTTTGTTTGGTTGTAGGATATAATGATGTACGTGTGTGTGTGTGTGTGTGTGTGTGTGTGTGTGTGTGTGTGTGTGTGTGTTCTGCGTGTGTGTGTGTCTGTTGATCAGTTTCAGTGAAAAGGTTAGTAATTCAGAAGTCAAAATTTCTAAACTTCAGGAAGCAAGTAGTTATACCGTTCAACACAAAGTCAGAGGAAGAGAGTAGGGAAAGTTTTAGCTCAGGAAACAGAAACTTCATTTTCAGAACTGAACATGAAACATGATAAGTTAATATTGCAAAGAGAGGGAAAAGCAGAGGTAAAAGTGAGAAGCAGGACAGAGGCCAAAAGGATATCTTTATATCTCTATCTGACTCTACCAAACCAAACTAAAAATACTCAAAGCCGCAGGTATCTAGTTTAGTTACAAACATTACCTTATTGTCATTGGTCCAGCTATTGCAATCAGTCCTTCGGTCCCAGCAGCCCTGATTCTTTTCACTTGATGGCAAAGAGAAAAATCACATGAAGGGAAAGGAAAAAGAATTGTGAGCACACTATCCTGATTGTTTCCCTTTCATTTATAGAACAGGTCACTGCCAGTCCATGATGATTGAACTGTGGAATAGGTGTCCTCACATTCAGGAGTATTTTGGGTTTAGGCACCATCCAAAATGAAACTGTTCCTGGAATAAAGATAATGCTAGAATCGGGCACCAGTAGTCTAGGACTGAGACCATGATGTAGTTATCCCAAAATCACTACCTACATGTTCATATGAAATTATGATTGAAAACTATTCAAACAAATGAACATCTGTAAATAGATGAGAGATTGTAGTTCATTGCTAGAGCATGAAGAAGGCCTCATGTTTAACTCTTGGTATATCCACTTCAAAGGGTAAGGGAACAAGAAATCTGCAAGACTTTGCCTGAGATCATGGAGAGCTACTGGTCATAGTAGCCTAGCAGCAGATAACCTCAAGCCTAGAGGCCAAATCCAGCCTACCTGGGTCTTAATTTGGCCCTCCTGAATTCCCAAAATATCCATGCCGACTTCTAGCCCCAGCCCTTTTGCCACAACCACCAATCATCTGGTGGTTTCTTGACTTTTGTGTGGTTATTTCTGATTCTAGAAGGCTGAAATCCTTCTCCTAAGGCTTAATGTTTGGAAGAGCTTTAGGCTAAAATATACTGATTTGTCTCTGACCCTTTTGCCTTTGACTCTGGCCACCTCTAGAATATGGCCTGCAAGAACTGATCTAAAATTAATTTGACCCTTCAGTGGAAAGAAGTTCCCTTCTCCAGTAGTAAGACCAAGTCGGTTGGACTATTAGTCTAACCTGGTACAAGGCAGCTTCTTACGTTCTACATTGTCAGGGTGACTGCAAGTGGTACTGAAAAATGGAAGTACATAATTTAGTTTTATTTCCGAAGCATATCATGGTCTGGCTAGTACCTGAATGGATGACTGCTTTTCAGTCCTTTACATAGTGTTTGTGAACTGTTTCAAGGAATGGCAGGATGCCACAGTGAGAATTGGCAGTCTAGTGATGTCTATTTTTTTAAAAGCACAAGTCCTTCTAAAATTTCTGCCCAAGTACAGCTGTATGTGATGCCTCCATGCCTCTGAATGGTTGCAAGTGGCCCTTGTTATTTGTAACTCTTGCTTGCTTTTTGCATAATTTCACCCTGACTTTCTCAAGGAGAGGTCACAGGTATTGCATTATCCTTTCTAACAACTACTTCTTCATTTTGCCCATTAGAATTTTTATTCCATTAAAATTTATTAATGTCCCTTTTGCAGAGAAAGCCTCGAACATTATTAAATCCAGCACCCACCTCCCCTACAACCAGCACTCCTGAACCTGACACTAGTACAGTACCACAAGATGCAGCTACTATCCCTAGTTCTGCTATGCAGGCCCCTACAGGTAAGGATCTTAGTCCTTCCTCCTAATGCAAGACGATTGCAATCTTACAGAAAAATAAGCCAGTCTCAAACAGAATGATGCCAGTCAAAACTTCTCAGGCTTTTTCTCATCTCCTCATGTTATGTCTGTGCAACTGGAATTGAACCAGGAATGTTAGAACCTTTTGAAGATAACATGTAAGCTTTCCATCACAGCATTCATCCTGATTTTGGGTGTCAGACCTTGGGTTAGTCATAGGCATGTGACATGCTGACATGTGATGACTGCAGGCTCAGCATTTGAAAGGCGTTCCTTCATCTCCCTTAAGAATCTTATGGTACAGAGGTACATAAATTGAACAGCAAACCTGTTGTGATAGCTCATTTTGGGTGCACAAAAACCTTTTCTCCTGGATTGAGCTCTGTGGAAATAGGTTCTTCAGCAAAAGTTCAGTTCTGTGTTGTGAACTGGCTGGCCATGGTTAACCACAAGATCATCTCCTTTGTTTTCTCAGACCAGTTTTTATGGTATAAAAAACCCCTAAACAAAGTGCAAAACAAACATATGAGGAAGTAAACATGTAAGGCTCCTGAAGACAAACGTAAAAATTAGGCGTGGTATCAGCACCAGTGTACAGTGGCAACTGGTGGAGACTGTGTGCCCCAGTCAGAGCTCACACATATCCTGATGCCAGTTGGTGCCAGAGGCAGGTTATTGATACATATTACAAGAAACTACCGCTCTCACTTCTGCCTTACGTGTACTGAAAAAAACCCATGAAGAGTTTCTGATATCCAGAAGTTCTCAGGGGAAAATTAATCTTTTACTGGCAAACCTTCTAGGAGCAAAAGTAGGTTTGATCATGATTGTATTTTGCTTAAAGACCAAATTAGTCAGTACCTTATCTATTGTAAGGAAGGGCCTAATCCCTAGCTCAGGCTTATTATGGTTTGAAATTTCTTGTCGCTATGGGCTGTCAAGTCATCTCCAACTTAACGTGAACCCGTATGTGAATACCCTCCAAAGTGACGTGTTCTTGACAGCTTTGCTCAGCTCTTGTAAACTCAAGGCTGTAGTGTCCTTTATGGAATCAATCTGTCTCATATTTGGTCTTCCCCTCCTTCTTCTGCCTTTGATTTGCCCTAGCACTATTGTCTTTACCAGTGAGTCTTGCCTTCACATGATGGGCCTGAAGTACAGCATCCTCAGTGTCACCATTTTTGCTTTCAGGGCAAGTTCCAGCTTGTTTTGATCTAGGACCCACTTGTTTGTCTTCCTGTCAGTCCAGGGTATTCTCAAAGCTCTCCTCCAGCACCATGTTTCGAATGTATCAATTTTCTTCTTGTCAGCTTTCTTAACTACCCAGCTTTCACATCCATACAGAGTGGTCAGAAATACAATAGTGTGAATGATCTTGGCCTTGGTCTCCAGTGAAACATCCTTACACTTGATTATCTCTTCTAGTTCCTTCATTGCTGCCCTTCCAAGTCTCAATCTTCTTCTAATTTCTTGGCTGCAGTCTCCATTTGAATTGATGATTGAGCCAAGGTATGCAAAATCTTTCACAATTTCAGTTTCTTCAATGTTGACCTTAAAGTTGTATAATTCTTCTGTAGTCATGATGTTTGTTTTCTTAATGTTTAGTGGCAATCCTGCTTTTGCACTTTCTTCTTTGACTTTCATCAGGACTCATTTCAATTCATTTCTGCTTTCTGCAAGTAATACGGTATCCTCTATATGATATGGTTGTTAGAGTGTTGGTCTGGGGACCTGGGAAACCCAGGTTCTCATCCCCACTCGGCCATGAAGCTCAATGGATGAGTCTCAGCCTATCCCATCTCACAGTGATGTTGTATGAATACACTGGAGCAATATAAGCCATCTTAGGTCCTCACAAGAAGTAAAATAGCAGGATATAAATATAATGTAATACTATCTTAAATTATGTATGTATCTCCCACCAATTTCACCCCTCCTTCCTCTGATCCTGATCCACTCTTCCTTTTGATATGTTCTGCATACGGATTGAAGAGATAGAGAAAATACATCCTTGTCTAATGGCTTTGCCTATTGGAAACCATTCTGTTCCTCCATATTCTGTCTAACAGTAGCTTCCTGTCCACAATACAGGTTATGCATCAGGACAACCAAGTGCTAAGGCTAACCCATTTCTTTCATAACCAAACATACCTTCTCATAATTCACATGGTCAAAGGCTTTGCTGAAGTCTATGAAGTATAAACTGATCTTCTTCTGAAAATCTTTGGTGTGCTGCAACATATATTTGCAATATGATCTTGTGTGCTCCTTTCTTTTTGGAATGCAGTTTGAATGTCAGTCATTTCTTGCAGTATGTAGGGTAAAATAATTTATTGCAAAACCTTGAGTACAACTTTGCTTGCGTGGGAAATCAATGCAATGGTTCTGTAGTTCCAGCATTCCTTAGAATCAGCTTTCTTGGGAATTTGAATATATATTGGCATTTCCGATGTGTGTGTCATTTCCACTGTGTTTCCACTGTGTGCCATTCTTTCGTTTTCCATATTTGTTGGCATATTCTTGCTAGGATTTGGATGGATTCAGTCCCTGCAGTTGGGAATTTTTCTACTGGTACCCTATCCACTCTGGATGTGTTATTCCTGCAAGCGCTTTCAAAGCAGCTTTCACTTCACTTGCTAATATTGCAGGTTCTTCCTCATAGGATTCCTCTTTGAAGTAGCCTGGCCTCTTTTTATCTCTTTTATTTGGTTTTCACCTTCTCGTTATGTTATCCTTGTCAGATAGCATGTTCCCCATTGGACTTTCAGCATTCGTAATATAAGGTGTGGATTTCTTCTTTGGCTTCTTGGACCTTCAGGAAGAGATCTCCCTTTTTTCTGTTTTTTGTTCTCTTCAATTTCTTTGCACTGGTCATTGTAATAATCCCTTTTGTGTCTGTGCAGTAGTCTATGAAAAGTGGTGTTCATGATTATGACCCTATTTCAGTCACCCTTTGCTTTTATCTTTGCTTTTCGCCTGTCGTTAGCCATTGTGAATGATTCTTCCTTCATCCACCTAGGCTTGCTTTTTTCATTTTGCTACAGGAATTGTGTTTTTTGCATTCTTCTTAATAATGCCTTTGGTTTCAATCCACAGTTGTTGTGGCTCATGGTCAATTAAGTTTAATAACGCAAACGTTCTTTATGTGTACTTTAAATTCCTGAGGAATGTTATTTAAGTTTTATTTTGGCACTATGCTTCTAGCTCATGTTCTCTACCACAGTCTGCTCATTGTTGTTGTAATTATTATTATTATTAGTAGTAGTAGTAGTAGTACTAGTAGTATTTTGCAAGAGAATACAACTTCATCATCTCCTATTTCAAATTACATACCCTGTTGGATGTATATATTGGCCATCTGGTGATGTCCATGTGTGCAGTTGTCATTCGATCAGTCAAATGCCAAGCTTGGATAAATGCCCTAAAATTATGGCTTCAAGTGCTTTTTTCCCCCTTGAGCTCCTGATAGAGATATCCACTTACTGCTGTCAGACTTTTTTGTCAGTTGATGGATGAGGGAGGTGGAGAAGAGGATTCTTAACTTGTGTTTCTCTCCTGAGGTTCTAGGCAACTATGGTTTAAGGAAGGTACAAGTCTGTTATACACAGATTAACAAATTTTGATCTGCATGTCCTTATTCCCCCCTCCCTTATTCTTAAGTAATCTAAAATAAGGAACTCTTAAAGCTTCATATCTGCACAGACTAACTGCTCCAAGTACAGGTTGCATGTTTTTGAGCAAAACTGAATTGTTGGCTTTGTCCCTTCTGTAATGTAATTTGTATAGGGACTGCAGAGAGAGGCTGACTGTATCTCTACTAAGAACCCACCCAGGAAAACCTTATGAAAAGACAGTTCTATTCTGCTTGGGGGATGATGTATCCTATACCACTAAGAGAGTTTTAGGACTTCTTTTATTTCAATACAAATTGGGGGGAAAGCTCTTCAAAACCTGCCCTTTTTATTTATTTTTATTATTTATTAAAACATTTTTATGCCGCCCCATTTGCCGAAGCCTCGGGGCGGCTTACAACGTAACTGTTGTAAGCCGCCCCGAGGCTTCGGCAAATTTATCTAACTGTTTCAATAGCATCATTTGTTCTTTGGTATCAGAACTCTGGTCTGTTACTGTAATAAAAATTCACCTATTCATTCACATACTGCACATCTACTCAGTTTCACTTTACAGTCACACTTTAAAAATTATCATTTTGTTATAATTTTTATATTATATTTGTTATTTCATGTTGCTCTGGAAAACTGCTCCTAGCACCATTCGGTAGGTCAGACCATACTCTTAATTACTTCTGATCAAAATACATCCTGGGCCAGACTAGGCTGCCTATGAAAACAACAGTTGTAGAGGAAAGCAGGCTTCAGGCCTCTAACAGCAGAATACTGTTGTGTTACACCTACCGCTCCATCCCTGCCACTATGTTTCAGATCCTGGCTGACTGTTTTACTTGGTCTGGCAACCCTGTTGCTGTTGCGGTGTGCAGTTGGGCACACTCCAGCCTTCTCTTCTTGCCTGGAAAGTTTAGCTTAAATACAGCAAGTGTATACTATGTTTTATAAAACTTAGCCTTGCTACAGTGTATGGGTAGCATTTCTGTCTTGAACCTGTGGGAATGACTTGCATGATTATGTTTGTTTGATTTGAATACATTTTACCAGAACTTTTGACCCTGTTCACATGGAATAATTATCTGCCAGTTTAAAAACATGGGTTGTCCCCGTGCACCATTGGTTAACCACTGAGTTTTTTAGTCCAGAATTTTGGGGCTTGTTTAATGGAAATCCAGCCTTTTAAAAACTGATGGGGTTATTGTAGGTGTACTATAGTTTTACCACTGAGTTGTTTAGTCTGGATTTGCACATCACATTCCACAATGTACAAAGGAGCTGGTGGTGGGCTGTGCAGTAGAAGTGGAGGAGGAAGGTGCTTTGCAGGCAGTGTACCCTCCTCTGACCACTCATGCACAACGATCTGTCAGTCTTTAAACAGAAGGGGTGTTCGTTGTTCAGTGTAAACCAAACCATTGTCTAGAGCCAAAATCTGAAAACAGATGCACTAGGCATGCCTTGAGCAATCCATTCTGCAGGAGTGGATGTGTGCTTTGTCGTAGCCTACAGTATAGATTGCTCAACCCATGGTTCAACATGCCATGACCAAGCATGATTATCTGCAACAGAGAATCTGTCTTTAGATAGGCAAATTAAAATGACTCAAGACTTGTACAGATGCCAAGAAAGTAATGCTGGTGGTAGTAGTAGTAAATTATAACAGTGCAGTGGGTTTTTAGCTATTTGGCTGTGAACTGATGCTGGTGAGCACACTAAGTCTCATCTTGGCAACAGGAGAAATCTGAACCTGTTTCCCATATGGTAGATTAGTTCTGAAGGTGAGCAGCTACCCACTGCTCTATCCCCGGATCCAGCTTGACTCTCTTTGTAGCTCATACAGCAGCATGCAGCAGAAGCAAAAAAAGGGAAAGGACCTCCTTTGCCAAGCTTTCTGCTAATTGTTTAGCCTGAAAGTACTCTGTATATTTGTAGCATCAAGATCAGTCTTGGGTTTGAACCAAAATAAAAGACTAGTCTTCAGATTCAAAAGGGCTGGGAATTGCTGTTGTGTCCCACATTGCAAGGAAACTGTTCCCAAAATTATGTGATGGCTTTCAGTGGAATAAATAAAGAGGCAGCAAGTCTCAGCAACAGCAGATAGAGGAAAAGTACCATTTTATCAAATTAATAAGCACTCTGTTTTGTTTCTCTTGCACACTCACAGTTTGTATCTACTTGAATAAGAATGGTGGCACTGGCCCTCATCTGGACAAAAAGAAAATCCAGCAACTGCCTGACCATTTTGGGCCAGCTCGAGCATCTGTGGTTCTGCAGCAGGCTGTCCAGGCTTGTATTGACTGTGCTTACCACCAGAAAACTGTCTTCTCATTCTTAAAACAAGGCCATGGAGGAGAGATCATTTCAGGTAAAAGAACCAGAGCCATTTATTTATGTATTTCTTCTACCATGTATTGAACAGCCTTCTCCAAGGGGACATTTTTACAAGTCAGCAACCAGTCATGGGGTTCTCATGGCTGACTCAACATATGCAAGAGAAGGCAGACCATCATGGTGTGCTTTATATTGTCTTAACTCCACAGTAGTTAGAATTGAATGGGGTACATAGCAAGTGTTGGTGCTATTTAGAGCCTTAAGTGTGGGTAATAGTGAAACTCACAGTCTTCCTCTTTGAGGCCATCACACTGATCTTTTCTGTCCATGCTTGTGTGCAGCCTCTTTAAACATAAGAGGGCAGAACAAATCCTTAGGTTTTTGTCTACTAGAGATTCTCCACATTGGCACAATATCATCACATGCCGAACCAGTGGCTACTTCAGAAAATTAAAGGATCAAGTGGATACTGCGCATTTTCAAGCAAAGTGATAGCCTCACTTTGACATCATATCTCTAAATTCAGATCTTTTGTCATTTGTTAATGAAGCCCTCAAGTGTAGTAATTCTGAAAGCTCATATGAAGCATTTCCAATAGAAGGAGCCAATTGCTTCTTGATCCTTCCCACTTGGCAAGACTGGAAGACCATGCCAGCCCAGTCTGTGCAGTTTAAGAGGCTGCATCTCCTGAATTATATTAAAGGGCCCTGGGGCAATGTTCTGTTTGCTTCCCTCCGAGTCTTTCATACAGGCGTCTTAAAGAATGCCCTGCGTTTGTCTGCATGACTTTGTTCTAGGTATTTGTTTTTAAATCCCCTTTTGCTCAGATTGAAGATGAGCTTTGATGGGCAAACTGTCTTCTCTACCTACTCACTTCATCCTTTGAAGTTGCACTTTATGCATCTAAACAATTAAAGAGGCTCACTCAGGGCCAAAACATAATTGTAAATAGATTCCCAACTTTTGTCCTTTTCATAAAATGGCAGCAATACTCCTGAGGCTCCTTAAAGACTAACAAGTTCAGCATGGCATAAGTTTTCATGGACAGTGTCCACTTCTTCAGGTTCATATGCTCTCTGGCATGAACATTTTTGCACACTGTCCATTTGCAGATGCATGAAATGTTCTCCCCAAATTGGTACACCTATTTACAAATGTTGGAGTGGGTAGAGATGTAAACTGTTGTCAGAGAGAATTTAAATCCAAAGAAGTGCAGACAGTGATGGCTGTCTTAACAGTAGCCACTCACAAAATAAGGTGATTGGCTCTATTTGTACTTTTTTGCATTTCCCCTGATAGCACAGATTACATATTTCCTGTCCCAAGTACATAGATCTACAGATTAGGGAGTAACACTTCACACACCTAATGAAGTTGAGAGTGTCCCCAAGTGTTAAAGCTAGAAGGCTCTGCATCTGAAGAAGAGGATCGTGTCCATGAATGTTTATGCCCAAATGAATGTGTTACTCTTTAAGGTGCCACAAAACCCCCGTTACTTCTGCGGCAACAAACTCTGGAAAGGATAGCTCTGATTTTTATATTGTTCTTTTATATTGTTATTTATTTTATATTGTTATTTTTGTATTTTATTGTATTTTATTTTGTGTTGTGAGCCGCCCCGAGGCTTCAGCAAGGGTGTTGCTGTTCTGTGCCATTTTCCCAATTGAAATCAACAGAGAGAGAGAGAGAGAGAGAGAGAGAGAACTAGCTGCTTTATTCCCATTCGAGGAGAGGGGCAGAAAAATTAAGCACTATTCCTATATTCCTTTTTGTGTCCCAAAAATAGTTGCCATTTGGGAATGGGGTGATTTCAATTGGAAAAAGTTTACAGAAGAAAATGGTTGTACCCTTTCTCCCCTAGTGCTGCTTCTCTGATCCAGTTCATGGATCCCCACAGTTGTAAATTTAAATTACAATGTCAGGTTATCCATTAGGGGGTCTCTCATGCCTTGTCTGTTTTATCTTTCATTCTTGATTTGATTCAATGGAAAATCTAATGCAGTCCATTCAGCTAATGGATCATCAATCCAATCCAGCTAATCTCTCATAGGCTTTTATATATTTGGCTTTGTCTCCCTTCCTCCATCAGCTGTATTTGATCATGAGCAGCATACTCTGAACTTGCCAGCAGTCAACAGCATCACCTATGTACTCCGCTTCCTTGAGAAACTCTGCCACAACCTGCACAGTGACAACCTCTTTGGGAACCAGCCTTTTACTCAGCACCATGTGCAGCATTCCCGCGAGTACGACCACGACAGGTACCTGCCAGGTAGGAGCTGGGGTTGCAGATTATTACAGGAATCTCTGCAGATTGAGAAGGCTCTGTAATGCCAACTTCCAATCGACTGGGAAAGCCCAGTATCACAAATAGATGTATTCTCATGCAAATATCAGCCATGGTTGATACATACTGCCTTCAGGCTGTTCTTTCGTGCCATTAGTAAACGTGAAATACAGGTACATTAAGCTTTATAGTTCCCCTGACGAAATCTGGGTATGCTTATAGGGGCTTCCTATATATGCCTATGTGCTCAGCTTCTGTACTTTGTGTGTATTAAGTGGAGCAAATTTAGAAGTACAGCTATAGCCACAGGATAAGGAAAAGGCTGTTCTTGGAATAACAGACTGAAGCACTGCTTAACAGGTGGCAAATGAGAGAGCATGGCTTGGATTCCGCAGTACCAACACAGCAACCTGCCACAGTTGGAACCTTTTACCCTACCTCTAATCTGGTGGTGGTTCCCACAAAGTGAAGGTTTGTCCTCAAGTCCTCTGTGATGGTGGTAAAGATCCTGGTGCGTATGATTGTCCACTTTCTTCATCTTCAGGCATCTTTGAGCTTGGCTCAGGAACCAGCTGTGCACTATGCAAGTTGGCTTGGAGTGGAAGGCAGGCCTACAATGTTTTAAGACTGGCCGTGTTTATTTTTCATTGTCTTGTTCTTTGGGCCAGGTCGCACTTTTCCTTTCTTGCACAGCTTAGCTTTTCTGGCTTCCAAGTTTTTACCCACAGCCATAATAGTTTCTGTGACATAACGAGCATGTCCAAAAGAATCTTAATTGTGCTAGTTTCTCCAGCACATCTCAGAATTGGTGGAGAGTGAATAAACAGATTTATCTTTAGTTTTACTCTGACTCCATTATGGGTTTTGAAATGCACAACATACTGAAGAGGAAAAAATGGTTCTTCCTCTGTAAAAGTGAACCTTGTTGGTCATTTCAACACTCCACCAGGATATACAAAGATGAACAAATTCAAAACATTATCCAGGATAATTCAAAGCTATCAGTTGGATGCAGACTTAGTCATATTCAGAGCAGACCTAATGAAATGGCTCTTAATTTAGCTGTGACTAACCTGCATTCATTTCTTGTTGTGTTTCTGTTTTCTCAGCTTTTGATTCCAGAAACTATATTCTATTACATAAGTTGTTTAAGCATAGAAAGAATATTAATCCTCTTCAGAAATATTATGGAAAAATTAAGAAAACATTTTAGAATCTAAGAAGAGTCATGTATATAATATGTTCTAAAAAATAGTCTCTGTTCTTCTAAAAATAGGTACAATGATGTGTTTCGCAGCTGAGTTACAATAATTTGCATTCACACTACCAACTTATTTCCCTACTAGTCTAGTTTCACAGACATGAAATAGCAGCAGATGTTACATATGAAGTCCAAGAGTAACCTGCACTATAATGCCATTTATGGTATGAGTGTGTTTTTGCTTTAAGATGAGTTTTTATAGCCAAATAGAAGAGTTGTCCAACTTGACAGTTCTTTTTTCCTACCGAATTGTCTATACATCTGAGGCCATACCTCTACAAACAGAAAGGTTACATTAGAGGATTTGCCCAAGAGAAACTGCCCCCTCTCCATTAATCTAAAGGCCATTTTTAATATTAAAACATAGTATTTAGACTATTCCAGCTTGTAGGGGGCTACTCATTTTGTGATGAAATTTGTCCTCATGAATGCATGGATGTGATATTTGAACTTAAAATCACCTCCAGGGACAGCCACCCTTTCAAAAGGTACTGATGCTCAAAAGAACAAGGTAAACTGTATCATAGTGACAGGATGCTGACTGGTGATATTTACATTACTGGTGTACAAGTAGCTCCATTACTAAATATTTTGATCCTGTGCTGCAGGGAGATTAGTGAACAGAGGCACCAAAAGTCTCAAATGCAGTTAACTCCTGCAGCAGCCTCCTTTGTCCAAAAACGATGCCTGTGAAAAATGTTTACTCTGGACATAAAGAGCATCTCTTAACAACCCATTAAAGTGGCAGTTTCCTGTGTCCCATTTAGCATCTAGCCAGGAGTGAGAAAAAGTTCCAGGGAAAGACAAATGGACTTGGACTCATTTCAGGAAAGGGGTTGAAGGATCTGGATTGGCACCTAGCAGAATAAACTGAAGCATTGGCTCTGCATGGTTTGAATTTTTGAGGATAAAAGATGCTGAAATAATGCTTTCCGTCTGTAGGGCTAGGGTCATCTGGAAATACATGTTTGACAAACTGTGGTGGCCAATCAGCATGGCTTGGAACACTGATTACTTGAGAAGCTGGGGATAATGGTTATTAGATTTCTGAAATTCATAGGAGTGGATAAAGAAAGCTGCAGGTGCTGGCTACTATAGCAAAGCTTGGAGTTTAGTCATAATTCATTGTTCTTCATAGTCTCTATACATCATACATATGGGCTCTGCAGCAGTGCAGCTGATGAATTTATGGTGGGAACCCTCCCTGATAACCCAGAGCACATGTCCCTAGCAGATTTCCACCTGTTCCCTCAGTTCAATTTGACTGGTGTTCCAGTAGCCTCATAGAAAACTTATCTCACTGTTTGTTTGGTTTCTTTTCTTCTACTTCCCTTTCTTTCCTTACACCACAAATGGAGACCATGGCCAAGGCAAGAAGTACTTGCTCCAATGGGGTATGTGGAGGAAAACACTTGAAGCGATAGAGCCCTCAGTGGGCAAGCCCATTATGGGATGTGTGTCAAAGGTCCCTCATCCCATGCCTGCCCACCTGGCATTCCAGAGACTGCAGCTGCCCCTATTCGAGCCCTGAATTCATGCCATACTGTCTCACCAACACTGGCATGGTCGCTGAAGTGTACAGCAACAAGGAAGCTATCCAAAAAGACAGAATGCAACAGTCCTTCACAAACTGAAGAAAAGGAAATCAAAAAAGGCAGTGGCCAGGTCAGCAACCACCGCAGTTGCCTGCCTCAGTACCAATTGTACCATAAATTATTCAAGCTCCTCCTTTAATGCTTGATTTGCTGCTAGTTCATTGGCCCAAATTACAGAACCAGTTCCTATGCGTGACCCTGTGCATGATGCTGCACTAATAGGCCTTAGACCTTGGAATTACCACGTCCACACAGCTGCATCCTGGGTACAGAGGGCAGGTACTGGATACTACAAAGATCATTCTTGCTACCCAGGATGCCCAGATCACACCATTGCTTTGAATACATGCCACTTCAGATTCTTGCATCTTTTCCATCATTCAGAAGGGTTACAGGATCAAGTGTCCTTCCTCTCTTAGCTTTCCATCAAAGTAATGGCCCCTCACCCATGCTGGAGGCAGAAGCAGAGATCCCCGTACTGAAGGGTGCCATAGAGTGTGTCCCAGCACATCAGGTTCGTGATGGTTTCTATTCTCATTAATTCACCTTAACAAAGAAGGATGGTGGAGGGCTTTGACTCATCCTGGAACTCAAGCTCTGAGCACATAGCTGGGGTCTAGGTTTGGAAATCCGTTCCCACCCCCATTGCAGCTGCTATGGAAAGAACCAAGCTAGTTGCGTCTTCAAGAACACAAGAGAGAGAAGGGCTTTGAGGCTATTTCAAGAGGCTGGGAAGGGAGAAACTAGGTGCAAAGATACACAGCATCCTGGCCAAAGTTGTCCATCTAAGCACTTTGCCAGCTGGAGGAGCATAAACGCAATGAAGGGGAGAGTTTTCCTTCAGTGGCACGCACAATTTAAAGGAGAACTGTTGCCATGAGAACAGTCCAGGAAGTATCTGTGTCCCTTTCATAACTTTGTTTCTTATTGGAGCATAGAGTATGGCAGGTATGGCTTGTTTTGGATTAACTAGCAGTTTCAAAGCAGCAATGCAGTTCTGCAGCCACACTGCCTGTTGACTGAGTTATGTGGTCTCTGTATGCTGTAAAAATGAACTGGTGATCTTAGGCAGGGCTGATTTCCTCAGGAAGACTCTGATCCTAAGCAGGGCTTGTTCTCTCTTCCTAGACAGGAGCATTTCGTTAGACGGCTCTCTGCAGGGACCAGGCCGGGGTTCAAAGAGATATTCCCAAGATTCCCCTCCATACAGTGCTCCTCTCTCCCCCAAGTTACCAAAGAACGATCATCACCCTTTGGAAGGTGAGCACAGTACCATTTCCCCAGCCTAGCTGTCAATAGTCAGTATGAAGCAGCGTAGGTTGAAAAAACTCCATGAAGATACATGGTACATCCAGATCGGTTTTCTGCTTCCTGCCTGGCCATTCCTTGCTCAGGCTTGTCCAGAGAGTGTCTTCCCTCCCTGCTGTGCCAGCCTCTTCAATATACACATCCCTTTCCATCCCCTTGAGCAAGCACGGCATATCCCGAAGTATAAAAGTTGTCTCCTTCCACTTCTTCATATACACGATACAGTTATCCAGCTGTGTTCAGACAGTCCAGAGACACTGTATGCACTGTGTTTCCTTGCTGTGGTCAATTCCAGCAGCATCACTCCTGTGTATACCAAAATGGCTTTCTTCTCTAATGTGATGCTGTTGTTGTTCCTCACAGTAAGTGCCCAGAAGTGGGATTCTGTTGGCTTTCAGTATATATAGAACTGCACAGACTTTCAATCATAATAGGAGTTGATTGTTCTATTCCTATATGTGTTTTTATTGGCGGTTTCCTAGATGGCTTAAAATGGGAATTAGAGACATTTATGGTCTATCATTGGCTATTGGCCATGATGTCTGTATAGAACTTCCACATTCCTCTGAACATCAGTTTCTGAAGGACAAGAGTATAGGAGAGTTAGTGCCTTCCTGTCCTACTTGTGGGCTTGTTGGAGACTGGGAAGCAGGATATTGGCCTAGAGGAATCCTTGTTCAGATCCATCAGGGCTCTCTGGGAGGTTTTGCCCTCTTTGGGACAGAAGGATCAGCCTCGTATGATGGAAGTGTATCTTGATGTCTTGTTCTTCTTTGAGTACCCCTGTACCTTCCCACTGTAATGTTCCACCCACATCAGCCACTGTAATAGATACAGTACTCTAGAAATACATGGCCAGTTTCATGAAAAGTTCTTCTCCTGCCATTTAGCATCTGCTGCCATGGATATGTTGCAGCAGAGACGCGAAAACTCACAGCTGGGAGAAGGGGTAAATCTGACCTTCCTGCAGTCTCCATCTGCCCCCCAGGGGGTTCTTCAGATACTCCCACCTCATTTCTTTTAATCACTGATCTTAGCTTCCATCTCTTGTGCAGTTTTTCCCCCATTCTAAAAGATCATGCCTCTCCTGCAGCTTAATTACAGGCACTAAGAGCTTTCAAACATATTGTGGTGTTTTTTTTAAAAAAAACATTGGTCCCACTGCTTTTGCCTTCACTCACCACTGCAGTGTTACCTCTATAAGCTTCCTTGTAATTAAGTTTAACTCTCCAACTGAAAGAGCTTCCCTGGCCCTGTATTAGAGGGTGGAAGGGCCCTCTATCTTTTTTCAGTCAGCATTTGAAGCATTATTCATGCAAAATATTTCTTAGGGCTGCTTCAGTAATGAAAATATTCTTCTTATGCTCTCAGTAAAGTTCTTCCCTGATGGTAGCATTTGCCATGGAATACAAGTTAAGGGTGTCATATTGCCTTAAATTCCTGTATGCTGCGTTTAAGTGTTGTAAAAAAACAGCAAGAAGGACAAAAAGTGTCCTGGGGATCATTCCCCCTGCTCAGATCACCACTGAGACAAATGCAGAAAGCCGGTCAGACAAGATGCAAGACTGACACCCATTTCTACTGTGGGGCCGCTATAGGATTCCTTTGTGCTGAAGCACGCTGGGCTGCTGCTATTAGAAATATTGACATAGCTTGCTCGGTATTTGAAATTAAGACACCTGGACAACCACGGAAATCCTTGATTCACCTAATATCAGAGTGTTGCCAGAAGAACAAAACAGTGTACGGTATTATCATAAATGATCTAAACATCCCTGCCATTGTTCCTCTATTGGGACCTGTGCTAGACAGCCTCAACTGTGTGAAGATCCACAGTCCCACTGCAGCAGCAGTAGCCACCCTGACCTTGTCCGAAAACACAGCCTGGGGTACTAGACATGCAGGCCAGAATGCTGTGGGTTTTGTGTGCAATCCCACAAATCCTTTGTTCCACATTTCACTGGATTCTACTTTTTAGTGCGGCAGGCAAGAGCATTTGTGTTCCTGACAATCCACAGCTACGAGGATTGGGGGAAGAAAAGGAATGCCTTTTAGTACTTCTGCCGTTTTTTGTTTCACCTCCTCTGTATCAGCAAAACATTTCCCTTTGAGGACTCTTTTCATCCGGGGAAACAAAACGAAGTTTCATGGGGTGAGATTGGGGGACTAGGGAGGATGGGACACAAGGGTCATGCCATTTTTGGTCAAAAACAGCTGAACACTCAGCTGAGCGAAATTTCACCATGTGTTGTTTGTGCAAATCAGGTTTCCCGAAATAGGCAAACACATTGAGATGTCTCCAGAAAAGCTCACTGAAGCCAAATGCAGCCTCTCACAACCACCCGGCTGGGCACATCGATGCAGATGGGTTCCTAGAACACTCACCTAGTGGGGCAAACCTGCACTAGAATGGGCCTACCCTCCAGAAGATAATTCCTGGGGTTTTTGGGTCCCCCTTCTACACCCATTACTTTTGCCTGCCCAATACCTGCTGAATATTACTAATTTACTTAAATAATTCTTACCTTCAGTTCAGCAAGGCAGTTCTTATCTCTCTCATGAAGTATGGTGAAACACGGTGTTCCTTCCATGGGCATTTGAATCGACACCTTTCACATATACCAGCAGTATCAAACTGCTGGTTTGTAGAAAGTTGATCTTCATCCCCACAGTGGCTACATGGAAGAACCATTTGCAACATCTCTAGAAAGAGTTAACATTTATTAAAACTGCCCTAAAACAAATGGTGGAATTCGGTCAGTCTTCCATCATTTGGACAGGTCAGGGGATCAAACAATATCTGAAAAGGACATTCTGGGACATGACGACTCCTCTCTGATTGACCTGACCGGTGAGTCCAAAACATCCTTTAGAGCTGCTGAGTTAGGAACATATTATACCTACTCGGGGGCTTTTAAAAATTGATGCTGACCTTGAGCTGATGATTTTCTTATAAGCCAAATGTACCATGAGCTCAACCTGCTTGGCTTTCCCAGTCTTCATTTATGTCACAGAGGCATTATGAGAGTAGATTTCCTCTCTACCTTCTCCGCATAGCTCTGCACTAGGAGCACACAAGACATTCTAGCTTGCATGTCCTTTTGGTTTGTATTTTTCAGTGCTTGCTTTGAAGGCAGAGGGTTGTGTCTTCTGCCTAAATATCTAAAAGTTGCAGCAGAGCCAGGATGTAGATCCTCTGGCCTGCAGGCTGGACAGAGCCACAGAGATTTCTCCATCTGCCAGCTTCTTCCCCAGGCCCTAACATCTTTCTCTAGGTAGGACAAAAGTCTCTTCGCTATATAATTTAAGTCAAAGCTTCTCCCTTATAACAAAGCCACCTTTTCTCAATGCAGCAGAGTAACTAGAGAGATGCAAAGTTCCTTGCCTTTCAGTATTGCAGTGTACAATCCAGTTCTCGGCACCACAGTTTAAAAAAGATGCAGACAAGCTTGAAAGGGTTCAGAGGAGGGCAACAAGGGATGATTCAGGGATTGGAAACAAACTGGTCATGTTTAGCCTCAAGAAGAGCAGCCTGAGGGGAGATGCAATAGCACTTTACAAGTACTTGAAAGGCTGTCGCAAAGAGGAAGGAGGGGATCTCTTCTAGTGCAGGACGTGGAATAATGGGCTCAAATTACAGGAAGCCAAATGCTGATTAGAGATGGGGGGGGGGGAATTCCTGACTGTTAGGGCAGTACAAGAACGGAACCAACGACCTGGGGAGGTTGTGAGATCTCCCGCACTAGAGGCATTCCAGATGCAACTGGACAGCCATCAGAGAGGGATGGTTTAACTTGGAGTCCTGCACTGAGCAGGGGGTTGGTCCTCCCGGTTCCTTCCAACCCTGCTAGTCTATGGTTCTGTGAATAGAGAATGGCAGCAAACTGCCACTTGGGGGGAGGCGCAGGTTTTTTCTCTATGAGGAGTTTTCTGCCCTTGCGTGTGTGTATATATATATATGAATGGAGTGTTTGTGAATAGGTGTGTGTGCATCCTTCAGGCTGGATAAGGTTCTCCCACGACAGGGTAATACTTTTTATTCTGCCCAATTAAAATGCCTTGAAGTAATGAGCAGTGTTCCAGGTTCTCCAGAAGTTTTCTGTGGGCAGGATAATAAGCAGAGAGAGAGAAACTGCTTACCATTCCCCATCAGTGTCTCCCACAATCGTGTGTTCTCTTTGCAGTTCTGTTGTATTAAGGTCTTCATTGTGCTCTGAAGCAGCTTGAAATCTACTACCTCCAGTCTTTCTGGCAGAAGGAGGTGCGGTCTTCCGCCTGCTGCTCAGCTGACTTAGAGGGGCAGCATTTTTGCTTATGTTGTATTTTTCTATAAAAAGTACACAGACCTCAGGTAGGAGGAGGATATTGTTTCCCCACAGATCTTGGAACCAGGCTTACAGCTAGTGATCAAACTGTGTCATATCATGTGGGTGCAGGTGTGCGCCTTGTGCCAAAGAGCTAGAAACAGAGCATGAGGAGGCAGTTGGGCACAAAATAGGAGTAACTATGCTGGCCCTTACTCCAGTATTAAGACGGAGAAAAGGAGGAGCTGCAGGGATGGACCGAAAATTCCCTGTTAGTCTTCTCAGGGAATTGGAAGGTGGTGATAAAAGTAGAGACCAAGAGGTCCCAGGATTCTATACATTCCATTTTAATATTTCCCAACAACATGTGCCGAAATTATGCTTGGATTGACAGAAAATTCAATGGCTATGAGCCCTTGCCTGTTTTGGTCTGGTGAATAGGAGTTTCAGGAGTGCTGGGGAATGAATATAGATACTGTATATTGAATCTTCCAGTGTAAGTGACTTAAACCAAATGGCCATTCACTCCTGTGGTAAAAATGGCTGAACATTTTTAATGGCAATATAGGGAAAAACTCAACATGTGACCCTCAATTAATACAGAGTTTGGATTGGTAAACACAGTTATTGGGGGCAGGGAGATCACCCCCAAAATATCCTGTATTCATTTACAAGCGAGAGTGATCCCCTCCTTCTGACTCTCTGGCGGAACAAAAGGGCTCTTACCGCTCTGCCTCTCACAGCTCTGGATGCCTGTGCATTCTGCACCCCGTAGCTGGCAGCCAGACACTTCTCATCAGTTCCTTTTGTGTCTTCCAGGTGAAACGTTTGTGTTGAGCGATGGCCTGCCAGGTCCCTTGGAGCCTCGTCTGGACCCTCTGGACTCTGCCCTGAATGCCGTCAATGCATCCAGTCCCAGCAGGAATGCAAGAGACTACCGACTTCAGGGGTACAGGCACCTTCACCAGCCCTCCAGCCTCACCCAGTGCAGTGGCTCCTCCTTGCATAGGCTTAGTGCTGCAGGTAAGAGAACTGAAACACCTTCTCTGTGAAGCACTTTTCGCTCCAGTCTTGTATTCTTGATATTAGTAATAAGGGAGCAAGAGTGAGACTCTTGGGCTACTGGGATGCTAATTCTCAGCTTTCCTTTTATCATAATTCCATTGGCTGCCCAAATGCATTCAGGAAGGGACAGCAATGTAAGTGATGTCTGATGCAAGATAGGCTCTGCTGCAGCGTTCTTGGTGGTTTTGTTCTTCAACTAAATTCATAATAAAATAGATGGAGGTAAAATAACATACTATATAGCAATAAGGCATTTCAAACAGAAGAGACAAATGATAACTCATGTAATTTCTACCATATTAAGTGTTGGTGCCTCTAACTCTGTTTACTGTTCCCAGTAGATTACCACACAAGAAAATACTAACCCATCATAAAATCTGCTGTACTTTGAATACATCTTACATAATTAATTTCTCCATTTCTACTATATACCAAATCTTTCTCTTCATTGCTATTAATACTTTTATGACGTTAATACAATAAGCAACATAAACATAGGGAGAGTGGAGAGAAAAACATACAGCATGGATGAGTCAGATATACATTTACAATGCAGAACAAAAAGTTGTGCTATTTCAGCAGCTTAGTAACTCTCCCATGTATCTCCATATGTGCTGTCCAGGCATTTTTCCATATATTGGCACATGTAATAGGTTATGGGTTTGAAGTGTAGGGTTTTCACATTGCAAGCTCACTGTTGTTTTCAGGGAGGACTACACAGTAGGATACCTCTTGGTCACTGTAGGGTCTTGGAAAAGCCAGCACAGTTTACCCATGGGCCAAATGTTGTTCATATATTTCTCACGATGTGCATCACATTAATTTTGTGATCCAGTTCTTGCTTTTTGCATTAGTATTCTCAGTGCGTTTTTCACTTGGGACACCAGTACAACAGAAGAGGTAGAGCACTACGCATTTCATGTTAAATAGTGGTCCAAGTAGAATCTGGGGAGAAAGGGCAATCATGGGCACAGACCTCCAGGCAGATTCATAATAAAACCAGTGAAGCTACTAAAACAATCATTCAATGATCCGTGTAAGAACCAAAGGTGATGGAGGAGAGTTTTAAGTGTGACATCTATTACTGACCATGTTGAAGTGCTAAGTGCAAATCGGATACAACAATGGCAACAAGAGGAATGACCATTTTTAAAAACCTATCTAGAAGAATCCTGTGCATTACATAGCACTTCACCTCTGCTGCTCAAACATGTCAGTGTGTGTTTATGGTTCTGCCCTCCAGGTTCTGAAAGATACCTTGGCCCTCGAGACATCTCACGGTTGGGCACCCGGGACCCCTCTGCCTGGACAGTAGAAAACGTCATGCAATTTGTGAGAGAAGCTGATCCCCAGCTGGGTCCTCATGCAGACCTCTTCCGAAAACATGTAAATATGAACAGGGATATAAGTCTGTGCCTAAGTGGATCAGGGCCATTCTCCCCTCCTGCTGCAGCTGCCCCTGCTCTCAGCAGCTACAGGGCAGCTTCAAACAAAGAACCCTTATTTTACAACCCCTCTTTGGCGCCAATTCTCTTCCCTCTGGGGGCTTCAGTATCTGACTGGTCTTTCCTACAGAGAAACCCTGTCAAAGGGAGCAAACTTCCAGTAACCGCTCGCGGTCCATCAGAGCAGGGTGAGTCAGGCATTGTTTGCATGGATGCAACTAGCCATCAGATGTAGGGCAAGAACAAGCGCCAAGAGAATGCTCGCTGCATGTCTTGCTGCAGGCAGACAGCAATGGTTGGATGTGGAGGGCGCTGCTGTTCCTGACAGCTTTATTCATAATTTCTGCAAATGGGCCATCTTTGGCCTGCTTGTTTCATACAGCGCTGTCAAAAATGACCTGGCAGCCCTTTCTCAGATAAACTGGTCAGAGTGCCTTTTATTGTACAGTTGAATTTCTGTGCTTATTTATATTGAAAATCCCTCTCCCCCAGCTATTTAGAACAGTGCTTGGAGGGAACAGTGTTGACATTGCCCTGACATAGCTGGAAAAGATGCGCAAGTGCTGTTTTGAGCCATTCCTGCTCCCAGAGACAGAGCAGTGCAGAAGAGGAAATCGATTTGCTGTAGAATGGAGCCACTGGGAAAAGATGACACAGGACCAGTCCTCAGTTGACAGTTAAGCCCAGTAGTGGGAGCTCTTGGATGAAATTTGTAGACCAGAATGTAGCTTTCAGTTGGCGTGTGACCAGGAGTTTTAATAGCAGGAATTTAGGCAATCAGAAGCTGCTCGGTTCTATGGGGAGCATTTCCTGAGACTACACAGACTTGGTTCAGGGGTTACGTAAATAGACCTGAACCCTGCAGATGGGGCAGGGGGAAAGCGTGAAGGCAGACATTGTTTCCACAGTGCCCAAAAGGCTTGTCTGAAAGCCCCATCAGCTTTGATGCCACTTTATTCATACAAGGATATACAAGTCTGGATGGGGGACTTCAATGCTGTGAACCACCCAGAGAGCTTTGGCTATGGGTGGTATAGAAATATAATTAACAAAAATAATAAAAAAGTGAGGCAAACCTGCACAGCTCAAGGAGCCAGCGGGGTTGGCAGAAGAATGCTGACAGAAGGCACTTGTTGCGGGGCAGAGATAGAAAGCATGCGAGTTTGATGTGAACTCTCAGTCAGGATCCAGTGAAGGTGAAGTGAGTTGATGAAGTACCCAGCACTGTGTGCACCTTTTCGTTCTGTTCAAGCAAAGAAACAAACGCTCCCTGCAAAACTCCCTGGTAATCTCAGCACACCGCTCTCGATTGCCATGCTGTTACACCATAGTCAAAGAAGACCATGCCCTTGTTCATGATTAGCAAAAACCAGATCATTGCAAATAGGTTCAGTTTGGCCACAAAAGCTTGCAGACATGTAGAATTTAGACTTTCCCCATAAAGGACATGTAGCTCTAGGTAGCACATTAGTCATGTGGAGAAATCTTCGGGAAATGGCTGGAGTTTGGATTTAGAATTTCCCTATATGGGCTGGAAAAGATGGGTTGGCCCACTGCTGAGTCTTAGGGCTTAATCCCTTTAAAGGTTTGTAAATGAGTGAATGTTGACAGGTGCCACTCATCATGTCACATGAGCCAGTGCTGCCATTGCAGTATCCCAGCCTATCCCATAGTGTTGGTTCTGGCCATGCTGAAGCATTGGCAGCAGTGCAAAGGTCTCCTGGGTTTGGCGCAAGTGTGGTTCTCTATGTTCTCTGCTTGCAGGAGATCGACGGCAAGGCCCTGCTGCTGCTGCGCAGTGACATGATGATGAAGTACATGGGCTTGAAGCTGGGGCCAGCACTGAAACTCACCTACCACATTGACAAGTTAAAACAGGGCAAATTCTGAACAAGGTTCATCCTGGCACAGTCTCGGCCGAAGTGGCACCCTCGGCTCCCCATGCAGGCTGGTCATGCATGCCTACGTTCCTCGCCTTACCTGTAACAGTGCTATGAGGACGCCTTCTTTGCCAGCGAGGAGAAGGTGGAGATCTGGAGGAAGACCCTGGGCACCCCCACTCAAAGGAGACTTGCGTTTAGATTCATTGGCATAAAAGGGTGGATGCTGCTTCTGCTTTCTGCCAGTGGAGACGGGACCACAATCCACCTTACCAGGAAGACAGTGCTTCTTCGCACATACTTGGAGCTCTGGCAGAGCCACACTCATGTCAGACCTGGCTGTTCGGCCTTCTTTTTCAGATGTACCATGTTCTTTTGCCCCCCCCCGCCCCCAGGGATCCTCTTCAGGCAATGACTGAGTGCCAGGAGGGGTTCCTCGTTCGGTGCCATACAGAGCAGACTGACTGCAAGGAGCCAGCTCTGGCAAGAGACAAGCAGCTGCTGCTAACGTGATCGTTCACTCCGCTGGGCGCCAAGGCTGGGGAGGTTATGGCAGAGGCCCCGCACCCTGCTCGTCCCACTATCTGAGCATAGTGCGTGCGCTCACTTGCTCGCTCGCTCGCTCTCTCTCTCACACACACACACACCTCTTGGTGCTGTCAGGCCTCTTCCTGTGCGGAGGCCACAAGCTAGCAGTTTTCCTGTGCTGCTGGCCTGAGGACAGAAAGCTCTAATATTTATTTCAAGCAAGGACTTGGGGAGGATGCTTACGCTGGTGCAGCAGTGGATCTGTTGCAGTCTCCATTGCCCACCTTTGGCGCTCTCCCAAGCGGGCTGGGTGCAGTCGCAAGGGAAGGAAGTGCAGTTCCCCTTACCCAGGTGTCAGAGGACACTCAGCTGAGCAGCCCAGTTTTTTTCTTAAGAGTCTCAGATGTTTTTCTACTTGCTATAGAAATGGCAACTGTTTAAACTTTTTTTCGGAGAAATTAAATGTTTCTTATTCCACAATGGTACCATGAATTTTTACCCCTCCAGTTCATGCTGTCAGAGCCTTTCAGTTGTAGCTACCTGACGGGTGAAAGGGATGTCAGATGGATGGGAAACAGATATTTTGATGGTTTGTCCTTCCCCAGCTCAAGCGGGGAACATGAATTGTTTTGTTTGTATGTATTCTGGAAAATGTTTAATGTATTTATTTTTATGGCACTTGCAGTGGCCCTCCTTGTTCCATATAGTAGAGGGCTGTTGCTGCTGCCAGGTAAGAATGAGAAAAGAACATAACAAGCTCGTGCCCCCTACGTTCTGCCCTCCAGGTCCTTGACTGAAGCCCTTTTCTTTGCTTTCAGAAAGTAAAGCCATGGTAGTGGTTGTTATTTCCTCCATTAGCTCCTTGGCCATTTGCCCTGTCCTTTGGTTCCCAAAGAAGAAAATGGACCCTGTGCTTCAGTTGTGCTTGGCTATTTTTCTGCCCCATACTGGGGGCAGGGCAATGGAAGGTGCACTTCTCTCTTCCCAAGTCACATACCCCACTGCCCATCCTGTGGATGATTCTTCCACCCTCCCAGGTGTTGTGGAAGAGGTGCTTTCTAGATTTCCCTAGAACAGATTAGAAGTCAAGCTGAAAATGCAAAAAAGAACATAATTCCAGCCTCTGAAACAAGCAATGAAAATTCACAGGCAATAAGCCCAATGCGGAAAGGAGTCAGAGCTCAACTGCAGTGCAATGGAGTCGTGTGACTCGGTCAACAGCTGGATTGGCCAGTACAGCCCTTGTGAGGAGAGGGTTCCCTGCTCTGCTATTACTGCCTGGCTGCAGAATTCCGTTTCTGTGAGCACCACCTACTTATACGTAGCAGCGAGGGCCCTGCCAATATTCTTTTCTGCACTTAATCTGTTGATTTGGTTTATAAATAAAAGGAAAAAATAGTACGGGAGGCATTCTACTGTGGTTCTTTGCTGATGGGTGCTAAAAATGGGTCGGTGTGGCTGGGCATGCTTGGAGTAGTAGTCCTTTTTTCTGTTTAAGCTCATACAGGATTGTGCCCTTAGATGCTGAATATAAATGTCTGCGTAAGACTTCTGACACCGAGAGAACATCCCACTCCCAATTCAAACAAGTGCTTGAGTTATAGGGTTTCGAAACAAATCAGGAAAAACTGGGACAACACAATGCAGGGAGAACATGGTGTGAAATGGGGAAATGACCTCCAGTTTCTCCCTCACGGCCCTTTTTCTCATTCTGTGCAAGCCTAGCCCTGTCTCTTTACAAGAGGAAAAAGAAGAAACCAAGGTGTGCAGTGGGGGAATTAATTTTGTGTATGGAAGCAAAGTAGCTTGCAGTAAGTTGGTATGAAAAGTAACACGCCTGATTTATGCAGGACATGGGTCACAGCAAGAACTCTTAACTGTTTAGGCATTCCAAGACTCACATTTAAATCGTTATGTGCACTGACCCATTAGGCTGTTCACATTAGTGTGCCAGTGTTGCAGCTGCCTGGACCATCCATTGCTGGTGAACTGTCATTACAGTACGTGCTGACTCATTTGCAAGTTTAAGCATCCTTTAAATGTAGCCAGGAACAGCTGGAATGTTTACATAAGTAAAGGCTCTTGCTCATCTATCCTTTACAGACTGAAGGCAAAAAGTATGCTTACAATCTCAGAGCACATTGTAGAAACCAAGTAACACAGCCTTTCTCAAACTGAGTCTATTCTGGACCACTCCTGACCGGTGGCTATTTTGGCTGGAACTGATGGAAATTGAAGTCCAAACATCAGAAGGGCACAAGTTTGGGAAATTAAAGGTAGACTAGAGATACTTTTAGATATATTTGACCAATATGGAGATAATTAGCTAAAGCTCCTTTCCGTAAAGAAGAGGAATAGTGTCTATCCAAGTGGCAGTTTGCCTACTTCGCAGATGGGTCTCATCAACATAGTTACCTGTGTGACTAAAAGAAGTGGAAACTATTCCTGGTATCGGGTTGGTTTACATTGCTTAAGTGCTCAAAGGAGCACCCATTCCCAGTTCTTGCGATCCACATCTTTGCTTGCTGAAATTCAAATATCTTTCCGCTTGTTGCTGTTGTATTTTTCCAGCTCAAATGGGAACCATTGAAATATATCTTCATTTAACTCCTCTTCGGCAAATCTTGTCTATTCATGGTCCATCTCCAATTCCGCATGACCAACTGAATACTGCTTAGAACTAAAGTGAGGGCATCTATGACCTCACAATGCGAAGCCCTGTTAAAGAGACTTGGGAGGTGCATGCCAGGAAAGTAACATAGCTAGAGCCCATGGCTTGTAGGTGCTAACAAACCTGGAGCTGTTCGGTACAGCATGAACACCAACTCCTTCCATGGTAACTTGTTTTTTGAGGATTCTGGGGCGGAGATGGAGCATGGGATTAAAATTGTGAAGCAGGTTTGCTTTGGCTGGAGTACTAACTGATTGGCTGTGTTGCAAGTTTAATAACTTGGGAATATATTGAGCAGACTGACCTACAGCGATATCTTCCACGATGCTTTTGGCCATTTAATTTGGCAGCTATTGGTTTTGGAGCCACAGCAACCTGACCTGCACCAGTGTTTGCCCAAGCAAGTCCCTGCCTCACCCTTCATCACTTACTGGGCATAATTGCAACCCTGTAGGTCAGAGATGAGTAGAAGGTAGATTGAGCTCTGTTTATTCAAATGGCATTTTAATTGTTGATTTTATTTTTGATTTTAACAACTTTGGCCAGGATGTCTCCAACTGCATTTTATTGTATTAATGATATTTATTTATTTGTAAGCTGCCCCGAGGCTTACGCGAATGGGGCGGCATATAAGTCCGCTAAATAAATAGATCTCTGAGATTCGCAGTAGATTGGAAAGGGATCGCTGCCCCCGGTAGATTAGCTGTAGCAACAATGCCCTCCCCTTCCCTCCAAATTATAGTGTTGAAATACAGAAATGTAGAGAGGTGGGGAAAGACCCAGGAGTGGATATTTGTACCGAAGGACTTGGGTTGCTTGTTCAGTTCTGGTACACAAAACAAATTCCTTGGCTCAGAATTCTTTAGTTCCAATGGTATGTCTTTTATATTAGGCTCCAGTTGGAGGATTTAAAATGAATTGGTTCCTGCAAGTCTGAAATCTTACCAGCCCTGTCATAGACGACACCAAGTTATTCAAGATAGTAACATCCTAACCCACAGAACTGCAGAATTTGCTGGCTGAGAACATATCTATGCTGTTGGAGTTGACTAAACTCTGGTCATCCAGGAAAGAGCTGCTAGACGGCACAGGAAATCATAGCGGATGTAGTGGAAATGGAATCCTGGACTGTATGAACCTCCATTGGATTTAGCAAGATCTGGTTATGACTCATTAAACAACTCTATATGAAAGAGAAAGCCAGAGGAGCCTCTCCCCTTGAAGCAGCAAGTTTCTCCTGCCAAATCACCATCCTCGTTCTCATGATGTCTAGAGGCAAAATTCATGTTTTTTGTAAATCATTTCATCACAGGCTTTTATCATACTGAGGCCTTATCAGTCACAGAGCTTGTGGAAACAATAGTTCCCTGTTTCTTCTCCATCCATAGAAGCAAGCCAGAAAGGAGTGGCCTTTCTTTCATCATGCACTAATGAAGAAGAAAGCCACAAGGCCAGCGTAAAGTTAATGAGTCAGCCTGCTGTACGCTGCTCCAACCAGCAATATCCAAATGAGGAGCAATGAGGATTTCTGTTACCATCTTTGAGCTCTGAAAATGGAAACAGAAGCCATTCCAGAGGTCATAGCAGAGTATGTACTACCAGCTTGCAATACGGTTCAGGTCCCAGAGATTGCTTTGGCAGAGGCCAACATTGAAGAGGAGGAGGAAGGGGGAGAGGAGGAGGAAGAGGAGGAGGAAGAAGAACCTTGTTCTAAGGAGACACAATCTTACATCCTCTACATTGGAAACCTGAACCCCAAGTATTCCCGTGAAGTTCTCTGCAGCATGCTGAAAGACATCCTTGGAATGGCCAGTGTCACCCTTCAGAGACACAACATTGAAGTGATCAAAAAACGCAGGCAAGCCTATGCCTTTGTCCAGGTGGCAACAGAGGTCAGCCTGGAACATGTTCTGAAGCAACTGCTGCTTGTCCCTGAAGCAGAGAAAGACCTTGCCAAGGAGCTTGTGAAGAAAGGAAAAAATCTAGTTGTGGGACAAGGCAGGAAGTTTGCATCTGGTAGCAAAAATGGCGGAGAGGTAAGGCTTCTGCATGGCAGAGCTCATAGTTTCATTGAGCTACGCAAGCCCCTTCACCACGACAAGGCAGTGATCCATGAAGGAGCAGGAATGGATAATTCTCCCTTAGGGCAGGACTTCACGATAGTAGGAAAAAACTTGAGAATGTAGATAATTATTCAATAGATCTTGGGAGTGCACATAAGGACAGTTCCCTTGTGTGATACTGATCCACAAAGTGGAAATCTATAGAACTAAACTGCACACACCATTCCAAAATGAATAGTTTCTGCACCTGAAGCATCCCTGGCAAACATCTGTCCAAACATAAATTTCTTTTAAATTTACAATAAAGCTTTTGCAGTGAGCTCTATATAATTGCTGCTCTAATGGTGAAAGAGAAGCCCATTTCTGGGACATTATGGCCCCAGTAAATATATGGATATTGATAGGGTAAAGAAGGGTGTCTTGGGGTGGCAGAACCCAAAGTCCCCTTATTCCCTTAATACTAAAGACCCTCAGTTATGCCAAAGTTGGCACAGTTAATTCCTTCCCATTGGAAGGAAGAGGAAGGGAGCAAATTATCAGACAAAGCAGTGCAGCACGACTAGGAAAAGATGGTTGCTCCGGCACAGAATTCCTCTTGCCAGGCAACATTTTCATTGCAGGATGCACACTACAGGGGAGATCCTATCAGAAGCAGACTTCAAGCTGCTTCTATACAAGAACAGGAACAAACATATCTAGCTCCTGGCATTAGTAGAAGGGGCTCTGTATTCCAAACATACCAATTGCATACTGCTTTTAACTGGCACAGCTTTCCCTAAGAATCCTGGGAACTGTAATTTGGGAAGAGGCAAGAACTCCCTAAGGGAAATACTTAGCTGTCTGGGAAGATCAAAGAATTGTTACAGTATTAAATATGAACTGCAAATAAGCAGAAGAGTGTTGAAGAGCTTAGCTAGCTAGGAAAAATCCCCTTTTACATCCTCAAGACAAAAACTAGATGTAAAACAAAATATAACTATTTCCATTAATTACACTGTATTCCTGGAATATCCAGAGTTTGTTGGTACACATTCTTCTACATAACTAATAAAGTACCATCAAAAACGATGTGTATTAATTCTAATAATTTCATCATGAAATAGTCACAGGAGTAATTTCTCCCCCATGCCTATTATAATCCCTTCATTGTTTCTCACCCCATGCTTCACTCTTTGTTCTTTTAAAAAAGAAAAACATCCATTAAGGAAGAATAGACTGAATAGGTGCAGAATACCTTTTGACAGGTAGTGGAATGAGAACTCTGACTGGAAGCACTACTAGGTTGCCTTCCCTAACTTAAAATCTTTGCCAGTCCACCACAGTGAGCTAGATATATACTGCCAGTCATCAAGTAACCAGAAATCAGCAACTCTCTGGGACAATAGAGAGATCACCGTTTTGCATATAAGCATGGAATTGTCACAGACTTTATTTATATGGTTGCTTGTTTATGCACATATTTATATGCCACCTAGAACTGCCAAAAGGCCTTCCTAGGTGGCTTACTATAGATCAATCAACACCCCTCTGTACCTCTTCGGCCAGCATTTTACAGGCAGGCCATTACAATGGCATGTTCCCTTGGATTACACACTGCACGTTCGCACAGTTTTCCTTTGTCGTATCTGCAGAGTGACTCTGCGGAGAGCAGTTCAGAAGCTCCTCTGGGAGGGCTCCAAGTGCCTGAGAGAAGGAGGAAGTGGCTGCCACATGATACTCAGCCCATCAGAAAGTCTCTTCAATATCCTTGGAGACTGAGAGGCCAGCCAGTGACTTTTCTAAGCAGCACTTGCTCAGACAGTGCCATTGTCCAGAAAGAGATCATAGGCAAAGAGTGTCTGTTCTATGGAGCCTTCATGGGCAATGAGACCCGGAACGTGGAATTCAAGCGTGGCAGCGGCGAATATCTGGCAGGAACCCTAAAGCATCACGTGCGGAAGTATGTGTGTGCTTTCCTTAACAGTGAAGGAGGCAGCCTTTTTGTGGGGGTTGAGGATAACGGCTTTGTACGTGGAATTAAGTGCAACCACAAGGATGAAGATCGAGTCCGCCTGCTTGTAGATTCTCTTTTGAAAGGCTTCAAGCCACAAGTGTTCCCAGCAGCTTATACATTGAGTTTCATCCCAGTTATCAAGGCTGAAGGCACTGGCATCTTCCTAAAAGTCATCCGCCTAAGTGTTCATCATCCCAGGCAGCAAGGAGAGCCTCTTCTTTATGAAACAGATCAAGGGGAAGTCTACCTCCGGCGAGACGGCAGCATTCAGGGCCCACTCACGGGGAGTGCGATCCAGGACTGGTGCCGGCAGGTATTTTCACTCTAATTTTGCATAAGCTAATTGGTGGTCAACACCAGCAGAAGGCAACATGATTTCCCTTTGTTGCAAGGGAATTAAACTGCAAAGTGCTTTTCCGGCATATAGAAACAACTGTTTCATTGTAGCTTGGTTTCCATCTGTCCAATATACATAATTCTGAAACATTACTTTTCCATCAACTTTTTTGGGTTTCTCAGAAAGGAAATGGTGCTTAAACAGACTGGCTTGCAAAAACCATGTTTATGGCTTTTGATAAATGTAGTTTGGGCAAATGTTTGTCTTTTATTGCTGAAATCCTTTGGGTTGGATCCACATTTAATCATATGTACAGTAGATTTCAATCATTCTACTGTTACTATTTTTTGTTTTTTAACAGTGTGGTTTGTAGATTTTTTGTACTACATAACAAAAAAAATAATTAAAGTATTTACACTTGACCCTTTGAAATTATGATTAAGTCTCACTGATTTCAAGGGGTCTGATCTTAAGTCTGATAAGATCTGCATCCAGGTTTTTGAAATTAAAATAATAAGGCACAGAGCACTTCAAACCCAGATTGGCATTTCCATCACTATCTCCAGGAAATGACAAGAAGTTTGATTCTCAGAATGTCCATGACCATTTTCTATTGCTATTATTGAGGAACTCAACCCTTGTGTAAAACAAAGATCTCCAGATAATATTGTTATAATAGATAATATAATAGTATCCACTGCTCAGCTGTTACTAAGATAAATTATGCTAACAGTGCTTGCTGGTACAAGACATTTTCCGGTGAAAGCCATCACACAAGCAAGTGCTATTGGTATGGCATTAGCATTGCAATGTTGTTTACATTAGCATACCGTAATTTATGTCAATGCAAGTGTCACACTGGATACTTCCCATGGACTCCATTGGGTAAAATACTCTTGCACCAATTCCTACATATTTAATGCCTTGTTAAGTTGGCAAGACTACTTAACGAACTATCCTCCTTGGTGGAGAGCTGACTATTGTGGCAGCTCTGATAGCAGTCAGATGCAGTAAAACCGTATTTGCTGTCCTTCACACTATTCTCCTTCGTGAACGCGTACACTATAAGTGGCAGGTAACCCTGAAGCAGTTAAGCCAAACCAAGTAGAATCTTCCACCAATCCCCTGAGAACCATCAGTACTCCTAGGAAAATTGACTGCCAGAGATCAGCTTAGGGAAAGAGGAAGTAACTAGGTAAGTTGGCTTTTACTATTACACAGAGAAAAAATGACATGTCTTCTTGTAAATCCCCAGAAATGGACAGAGGAGATCAAGAAGCTGGAAGCAAAAATAGAGAGATTGCTGAAAGAGAATGAAACCCTGCAGCAGAATATACAGCAAGCTACCAGATCTCAATGTTGTGCCATCATGTGACAGCTAAGCAATCTTATCACTAATCATCTGGAACAATTACATACCTGTTCTAAGTAAACGTAGCCCAAAAAATAGCCTTGGTTGAGCAATCCTTTATCTTATGTAGGTGGTACAGAGGCCCAACAATCAGGACACCAGTTGGCTAAGTATAAGGCAGCAGTACACTAGAGAAGTTAAACTCTTCTCCATCAGCAACTAGGATTGTTACAGATTTATAGTACTCCTATTTGGTCCAAAAACACTGGATTTTACTTCCCATGAAAATGTCACATGGTGTTTACGGTTTGGGTAGTGGAACTAAACACAGAAACATAGAAAGAGAGGAAGTCGGAAGGGGTCTCTCGGGGCATCTATTCTGACCCCCGGCTCCGCTCATGACATGCCTACCATGTGCATGTCCAGAAACCTGTATGCTGGAGAAATCTGTATATGGTCTCTCTAATGTGTCAGGTGTTTGGTGCTTTTCAGCTTCTTTGCCCATGCATGTTATTTTTGGTGTGATTATTGCCAGTATGCTAAATTCTTAAGTAGATCCCCATGCTGATGGATCTTCAAGGCCTGAATTTGGCACATACTCAAAATGTATCAGGAACATTTAGAAGCATTTTCAATTCTAAACTTTTTTCCTAAAAGTGAAAGCAAATCCCCTACCATTTGTCTTTGCAAGTTAAGTCCATGAGCAAATGTCAATGACTGGTAATTGGCAGACCATAAGGGGAATTCAGTTACTAGGTTTCCAATTCATCCTCAAGGCCAAGAAGAGTGGGCAGGTTGTAACATACCTACTTCTACCACCACCTTAAGGTGCCGTGTTGCCAACATATAATTTTCTACATACATTTATGCTGATTGGTGAATAAGCACTGGCTACAGCAGGAGGGCAGCAAAGATGCTGGAAGCCTTGGAGACGAAGTGCTATGATGAAAGGTCAAATGAACTGGGTATAGTTCGCCTGGTAAGAAGGGCATCAAGAGGTGATAATGGGCTGTCTTCCAGACGATGTAAATTTGTTTTCTGCTGCCAGATCATAGCAGCCAAACAATTTACTCATATTACAAAGAAAATGATTTTGACCAAAAGTTTGAAGAACTTCCCAACGGAATGGGCTGCTCCCAAGACTAGTAGATTATCCATGAAAAATTTTTAAGCAGAAGCTGGGTGGCAGAGGCTGGGTAAGACAATGTTGTGGATTTCCTTCAGCAGTAGCAGGTTAGATTAGATGATCTTTTAGGTCTCTTCCGACAATACAGTACACTAATTTTCCTCCCATCTCCTTTGGATTTAATCCTTATCAGCCCTACCAGCACGAACCGGCTAAGGTCTCATGTAGGTACAATCTCACTACTTAAACTGACAGTAATGAGTACTGATCCCATCTTCTACTCCCTGAGGAGCAAGTGTGTGCCCTATTAATTCCGTGTTCCGCTAGAGAGCAAAAAGAAAATGCATATATTTATCAGGGTCATGGGCTTGCAAGCACCCTCATGACCCCGAAAATGCAAGGAGTCCCTTTTGCTGTCTAGCATTGAACAATGAACTGTCTGGATCTTACAAAATCTTGAAGGTTACAGAGGCTAATCAGAAACATTAATTAAACTACCAGCCCAGGCCCTCTTATGAAAGTGAACACTTCCACAAGAAAATGTAGGAATTACAGACCAAGGGACAAGAGAGGCCTGTATCTCCATGTGTGACATTGGCTCATGGATAGAAGGTGGATCAAGCTCTACTGGGAGACCTGTAGGCAATTTGCAGGAAAGCACTATGGGCTTCTGACTCACAGGAGCCTTCAAAATGAGATTGTTGAGAACCTCAGGGGGAAATCAGAAGTAGATTTTTGTGACTGGGCTATGAGTTCAGTTGTGGTAGTGAAATTCCTGTGCACACACCCATGGCCACTGTTTTGCACCTGGCTCCAGAGCTCGCAAGCCTGACAGCTGCTCACCTCTCTTGTATGACTGTCTGCCTATGAAAACACAACAGACAGGCAACCAGACATATAAGGAACTTAAGAAAGGGATGAAAGGAAGATAGGTCAATGCTCAATCCTATAGTTTCTCGAAGCGGGCAAAGGCTGTGCATGGGTTAAAGAATTGCTTGGGCCCCCAACACCAGCCTTAAATTGGCATCCTATGTGGCTACACAAGACGCTCTGAACTCAGAAGTGTACCGGCATTCACTGGACAGCAGGAAGAACACAGACTAGGATTGCCTCCGTGCTCCCTTGCTCTCCAAATCATGCAAGGGGTAAAAGACAGCCTTTGTCTTTTGGACCCAACAGTTCACACTCGTTCCAAGGGCAGAAGCAGAACCCTCTGAAGACACGAATCCTGGGAGCTCAGAGGGCTTTGCTAAGGTTGCAGCTGGGACTTTGCCTTTTCCTGTGGCTGGCCAGGCAGCATGTCACCACAGGACTGTACCCTTAATCATGCCACTTAAAGCATCACAATCAGCCCGCGGGCTTTAGTCTATCCCAATGCTCAGCCTTTGGCTCACACAAGCCACTGTCTTGGAGGAGCAGCATACTGGTGCAGCCACAAGCTCACTCTTCTGTGAACTGGAAGGAAAACCACATCATGCTGTTCATAAATCTCAGCCGTTCCTTTTGTGCAAGTGAACTGGCAGCTGGTTGTTGGAACCAAAAGCCAACAGATAATTGGAGGATCTGCTATTTATCAACTGAGGCATGAAAAAGAATTGCAATGGGATGATCAGCTATAGAAGCTATACAAAAATGAATGGCACATAGCATTCAACTTACACATGTGCAGAACAGCTTTCCAGAATGATGCTCCGTGATTAATGCATTGCTGACATATATAATTAGTCTGCAAAACTAACAGCAGGGAAGAAGTATAAAAAAGACCTCTTAGACAGAGAAATGGCACACGGTTAATAAAAGGGGAAGGAGAGAAGAGTAATCAGAACACAACACAGAAATTGCTTTCCCCATTTTAATTAAGTATCTGTGCATATGGTATATTTTATAGCAAGATGCAGTTTCTCCAAACTTGATGGAAACACAGCTAATGACCTGTACTGGCAAAAGGGGAGAATACACATACTTGCTCTGGACAGTTCCCACCTTTGCCAAACAAAAAACAAAAAAATCCTGGTGTCATCCTTTCCCTCCTGTGCAAGATGGAGTAAATATATTGCTGAATATCCACCTCATGTCCACTTACAGAAATGGGCACCTTTAACATCCCATATGCCTTTGCATTATCAACAGTGGGGGAAGGAAGACCACGTAAGTTGGGCCTCCCTTTCAAAAATGAGGAACTCAGACCTTCTCTGGTCCAGGGCAGATCTCTCAATGAGAGTTGCAAAAGGCAGCTTCTGAAAAGTCACTTTCTTGTACACATGGCCCCCTTGATGCAAGGAGTTTATTTATCCAGGAAGCAGGGCTACAGAAAACTATACCCCTCTCTTGAGTTTGTAATAGAAGAGAAATTTTAGATACTTGGATTACATCCAGATTAAGCCATTCCTATAGCAGACCTATTGAATTCAATTGAGTCATGACTCTCTCAAATCCCATGGACTTTAGGTACAGCTAAATCGGGATACAATGCTCACATTTTTATTATATCATTACAGCATGACCAGACTTGCTTAGGCTCAGATACCCTCAAGCTTCATGACCAGGAAAAATGTACTCCTGGAATAAAAGTTCACCAGTGGATATGAAGCGACCATATCCATCGCTATGTTTCAAAATGCTTGTAACGATTAAATTATTCTGTCCTCTGGAGCTTCCCATCCCATTCAGATGGATGAAAAATATAATTGAAACCTTCCACAATGGAACCTAAGAGAAAAGCCGGTATTCTTCTTGGCAATACTCATGACCATTTACAGTGGGCTATGACACCTCATCAGAAATTCTGAACCTGTCAAAGTCCTTGCTCAGCTTCTTGTCTGAAAGCTCACAACCACACATGGACCAGTGTCAGCATCACAAAAGTAAAGCAATTAAAAAAAAGTTAAAGGAACAAAACCAAAAAGTGACATGAGTTCTCAAAATACTGTTATAACAACATGATTTAAGAGACTCCAGCAGTCCAACTATTGCATCCAATGAAGCATCTTCTGATATGAGGAATACCTGTGGTGGACATAGTAGAAGAGAAATAAAACATAAGCTTTATCAATCTCTTTTTTAATACAATTATAACCCAACTTTCCTCCAAGGGGATCAAAGTGACATATGCTCATGTCTCCCCTGCTCCCCACCCCCACACACAACTTTTATCCTTACAACTTTTGGGGACAGGACAAGGTGAGAGGTAACCTAACATAATCCAAAGCACATCACAGCTGAATGGGGATCTCAACTCATAGGCTGAAATTTGGTCTAACCACAGTGGCTCTTGCTTTTGTTTTTCTGCAAAGGTTCTTCCACAATACCAAGTGCTGCACTGAAAGAGTTCGAACATTATACCTCAGGATAAATATCTCTTTGTCTGTGCAAGATGCTCTGAGTTTCAGACACACACAAATACCCAATCTGAAAGAAGTGTTAAGGGCCTGACTAGGCAGTTCTTTTCCAGGATAAGAAATTGGATACAGAGACCACAAGGAAGTGTGATCCAAATTCTCACCTGTGGGAGAAGGAGAGAATATGAAGTACCAGAATATGAAAAACAGACATACCAGGTATTACTCGTGGTTCACCGCAGTAAATTTCAGTTCTGTGATCTCAGAGTCTGGTGAACTGCTTCCACTTCGGTCACTGTATGTATCCCTGCAAAGTCCAGAGCATTAAGAAAATAAGTTTTCTCTCATAATTTCCACTCTGCATCTAGTCTGTTAGTTAACCATGCAAAGACAATTTCTTTGAAATTGCCTAGATACTGAGACTACAGTTCAAGCTATAGCCTACCACAAATCTAATGAAGGTCATACTATCTTCAAGCAAATCTAGCTGGGTGCATTTATATAGGGGCTTTGCAGAATTTTTTCCAGACTTGAGCGTAGTCCTGGCCCACAGTTGGGTCCCTCAGATTATCTGGCAGTGGCTGACTGCCAGGTAACTGAGCGCTGCCGTTTGAACTTCCCGAAATGCCCCACAGCTCCAATCTCATGTCACTCCAGGACACAGGAGGAAATTAAAAAGACTGCTCTAAGATCCAGTTGCCTAACACAGGAGTCAGCCCAGGTTGCAGTGCCGGGGAGCCCAACTGGGCCACGAGGACCTTGGCAGCTGCCCAACCCTGATTCTATCAGGGTGCATCTTCATTCCTCTGCCCCACTTGTGGCATACACTGTCCCACATATATTGTCCCACGAAATAGGCTGGTAGGTGGGAAGTGATAAAGACTCTGCTTGCTGGTGTTTTCTTCTTTAAAGTAATTAAAGGATAAAACTTTAACTTTGAAAAAGAGCATTTAGAACTCTGAACCTTCAAATACAGTGTAGCAGTATACTCTGATGCTGACAGTATATTAATTACATACAAAAATCACACGCATCTTTCTTATGAAGAAGATTAAGCCAGAGCCTATCAACCCAGGGTAAAAATGCAAAGGCATGTATTTTCATTCTACAAAGACACCACTAATATTGTAGTCCAAGTGAAGGAAACGAGACTCCGTATAGCTCAACTACTGTTGTACCGAACAGAAATAAGGCAGCATTTGGAATAAATACAGCACCTTGAGCACAAGGTGCTGCTGAACAGAAAGATGCATAATAAGCCAGGGACCTCAGCTGAACTTACCTGGGGGAGAGTCTGCAACCCTTCTGCAGATAATGTGTAAGCCTTCCTGCAGAAGCCAAAAGGAGGCCAAAGTAAGGGGGAGATGGCTTTATAGGTCTGGACAGGAATTCTGGATGATACTGAACACCAACGAAAAATGGATGCTCTAGGAAAGAAGATGATGAATGCTTTATTGGGTTAATTAACAGATGCACTAATATACATTCTATATAATATACATTCCGTATGAAGCCATCTGAGTACCAGCATCCTGTCTACTATTTCCAAAGATTCACCCATACCACATTTTTAAATATTTGGAACAAGAAAGATTCAACATTAAAAATATATGATTACTTGCCTACTACTTGAGTGTCCTGAGAATCCTAAACCTCAGAATTCAGACTGAGTCTTCTACATTTAGTAGAAAATTTACTACTTTTACTACATTTGACTACATTGTGCTACTTATTTTTTCCATCCAAAGAATGAAAAGCTACCAGCCCCAGACAGATAAATCTTACAGAAGCCCAGTAACAGTATCAGTCCTCCAATTACTGAGCCAAATGCTCACCTTCCAACTCAACCACTTCCATTCGTTCTCCTTCAACATCTTGGCCCACAAACTTCATGCCCTTTTCTTCAAATGCGTGTTTCAGTTCCGGATTTACCTATGAAATGGAAAAGGCATCATGTGATTTCTTCTTGGATAATTCAATGGAGAAAAATAACAAGGCTCTTCATGCCAGTTGGCATACCTCAAATCTGTGTCGGTGCCTCTCTTCCAAATAGTCCCCATCGCCATAAAGTTTTCCTAGCCATGAAGAAAATAAGGCCATTCGCTTATTATAAATGAGTTCACACATTAACACCAGACTGTTCCCATCACATTCAGTCTCTCCAAATATAGACCTGACTGAAACTCTTCCATCATACATTTCCTTTCAAGCAAATTCTACAGGAAGTAAACTCTGCCGCTTATCACTGAAGAACACAAGGCAATAATCCTCTTCCACTGGCACTCCCCAGCACCTGGTACCCGGTAGCACAATCATCTCTGCTTAAACTAAGTCCCAGTTAGCTGCCCTTGTGAATAGCTGCAGACTGGTCTCTAATTCATGAAATCCATTTGCATTAGATTACCCCATGGCCTAGTCTAAGAAGAGGGAAAGGACCTCTGTCCCTGGAAATAGGGACTGGAGACTTGCCTTGACAGAGAACCATTCAGTTATTCGTAAGGTCCTGTATTTATACCCTCACAGTTCCACCAAAGCAAAATCAAATAACCAAAAGGAAGTTGGAACTGAGGAAAAGAAAGAGACAGAGCTAGAAAAAGCCATACTCATGAGTGAGTTCTTGGTGTGGAAGACAGTTCTCCTTTTGCCAAGCCTCATGGTCCCACCCATCTGGCCAGGATTATGTTCTGGCATGTCTATTACCTACAGGAGATAATTCAAAAAATTCAAATTAATTCAAAAAGCACGTTGTGAATGGAAAGGAATTAAAAGGCAAACACTGCTAAGCCAGTGTGGAGGGCAAGTGGTGATGACTGCCGTAAGCAACCAACACGCAGCCCATTTACACCAATTTCAATGGCTGCTGTTCTAGGAGCGGAAGATAAAACTGGCACATTTACATCAGGAGAGTACTTTGGGGCAGAGTCTTGGAGTGTTGCAATATGCAAGACGACTTTCCATATATACATGCAAAATAATGCCATTATGTAAATGAATTTTGGAGAAGGATAGGAGAGAGAAAGCCTAGAGTGATGCAGCAGGCAAGCAGACGCCAGCCCTGCATACTAGCAGATGGGATGGGATGGGACGGGACAAGGAGGGAGAGAAGAGAAGAGAAGAGAAGAGAAGAGAAGAGAAGAGAAGAGAAGAGAAGGCTATAGTTAATTCTGATATCTGGGCATATGGTCACTGGAGTGTTCCAAGTATAGGCCATATTTCAGCATTATGCCCCACATGTGGATATCCAGAAACAGAGGGCTTGTTTCCAGACATGTGTATGGCCAGACTGAGGAGTGGCATCATCTGATACAGCCCTTTGTCTTTGATTTCAGCATCAGGAATTAATACAGAGATAGGCACCAGAGCCATGATGCTCCATCTCTCTCTTTCACATTAAGCCACTGTTAATCCATTTGTTGTTACATCCCAAGAACCAGGAAAAAGGATGTTTCACAGTCCTGCCAAATCTGTTCCTGTCGTAATTCCTGTTCAATCCAATTAGCCCATTTCATATCTCTGTTTATCAGTTAAGAAATACTGAAGGCCTTTGATATGCACAGGTGAAAAGTGGGCTCAAAATCACATCAGACTTACCACTGGATGTTTAGTTTGGGGGTCAAATTCTGTAGAGTTCGCATCTGTGAATAATAGCCTTTGTTAGATATGACTTACAATACAAACTCCCAGTTTTCAAAGGATCCACATTTCTACAACCCACAACTGCTGGCAACTTTTCCATTGATCCCATATAGCTATATGAGTCTCATGACCAGTACAGGCCAACTCAAAATTACAATAAAATATATCAGCATATATTTTAGCTGTTTATTACATTATTTCTTAGTCTTGTGCTTATAGGATCCCTTTTAAAAATGAAGCTGTATATACAAATAGGGTTAGGTTAACAAAATAACCAAGAGAATGAACTACGATGTGTAAGCCCATAGTTCAAATTTTGTCTCAGCCATGACCTCTTAGGCTCTCAGCTACAAAAATTCTTCATCCCATGACATGTGTCTAAGATCAACCCATTATAGAAGCGTGTAATGCCTGCTAAGATACAATGCTTCAGATACACACAAAGATGTCATTATATACTATAAGGCATCTGACTTCCTTTGAACCGGTACTTCAGATTCTGGAAATACTACTTTTTGCAGCAGAAGTCTTCACAAGATATCACCTCAACTGACTCACAGAACAGGTAACAGTGTACGGTAAAGAATGCTATTACTTTGAAAAGAGTCACAAAGGTAGGGTGAATGAAAACAGGTACAATTCTCCTTTAAGCCATTTAAAATTTCCGAAGTAGTCATTTCTTTGTGCCAATGCACAGCAAACACAAGGTCAACCACAGTATTCTTAAACCCATTTGAAGTATTTTTCCATTGCTTTTACCTTGCCATCCAAGGAAGTTGCGAGCAAACTCTACGACCGCTAACTGCATTCCCAAGCAGACACCTGGAACAAAGAGAGGAGGAAAAATTTACTAAGAACGCACAACACTTAACTGTACTGCCATAGCAACCATTATTTGCACCAGGGCCACTTAAGCGTAATAAAGACAACATGGGTTACATTGATGGGAGTTACAGGGGACACTGAGATCTTCCTCTCTGCCCTCAGCGATTCTGAAGTGACACTGAGCAAGAAAACAGACCTTGCTCAGGGTTACCCAGAAAATCTACCTTTCATTCGTCTGAAGTTGTATACATCAGAGACATGACAGATGTCCAGCAATAGATTCAGAGATCAGCAACAAAGCTTCTTGTGTACCAGCTATTCAGAGTGGGATTAGGGCTTTCGAGTTAAGGTATTCAGTTGGTGTATGGGCCAAAGTTCTGCTTCTCTACGACAGGGTAGTGCTGAAGCATATTTTTTCACCTAGGAAGGGCTTTTTCTGTTTTCTTGCCCAAGAGATAGCTTGTATCTTCCCTTCTGTCCCTCGAATGCCAAATCCTCCAGGAACCAGGACTCCACTATACAAAAAAGGGAAAAGCCCATTTAGCAAAACCAGAAAGTTAAACAAATTATATTCTAACCATCTAACAACACACAATCTCCCTGTTTCAGTGTTAAATGGAGCGAAGTAGCATTTATATGCCCAGCAATATTCACATAACTATGTTTCACGAAAGACACAACTACTTGCTCAGTGAAAGTGCAGGTTCTCAATTGTTTGCCAAACACAACAGGAGAAAGCTGCAGTGAGGTTCCAGGTGTGTGCAATTGTGCACAGGCACACCTCTATCCATCTAGCAATTCCTTTTTCCCCAGATGCAGAAAACAAACACTATTCAGAAACACGATTCAATTAATAGGGGTGGCATCTCCAGTGAGGTGTGAGGCATCTTCCTGCCTACATCTTGCCTTCAAACTGTGTTTCCCACCATCTCTTTGCTATTCAGTAGCCACTTGGGTTTCGAGGCAATGGTCTCCACTAAACATGAAATTCTGACCGGACGAGTTCTTTGATTGTTTTATGTGAGCAGCTGTTCTGAAGCCAAACAAGAGACACTTCTTATATAAAAGCCACTGGCTTTGAGGACAGCCTATCGTAGCTGCAGTGCTGCTTATCTCCAAAAGGCATTGTTCAGGAGCAGCAGTAGTTTATGGCAAAAGTGAGGGCTGCTGGAAGTCTAACTGTATGCACAATTAATGGTGGATCTTATAGTCCTATTCCGTGGCAGAAACATGGGGTTGTTACCAGCTAGCATTCAGTGCCACATTGCCTCTGAATGTTCTATTTAACCACCGTGACAAATAGCCATTGATAGAACAATCAGAAGCTAAAAACAGACCCTGCCATTTACACAATGCTAGCCTGCCTGCTTATGCATTTCACCCAGGCACTGCCCAACAGGACCTGGGGCATACTGTCTACTTCAGTTAGGGGGAAAATGTTAAAGTGGATAGTCCAATGTCGATTGGACCAACTGGAATGCTGTGCTAACCAAGAATCAGGAACAGAAGCCTACAATGCCACCAGAGAACAAGATTCCCCACAGGAAAGCAAGGCTGCAGATGTCTTACTCGGCACTGCAGAGTTTCTGCCAGGCCTCATGGTATCGAACAGGTTCTTCTTGTAGAGTAGCTGGTTCCAAGTCAGCAGAATCAATGTACTAGGAAGAAACCCATTAAGAATATATGCATTTCTGAGTCAGAGGTACAACTACTCGATTTTACAGCATGGACTATTAATGCATGAGAACATCCAATTTTGTACCGTTGGCTTTATTTTTGTATAATGGAACTAAACATCATCAGACTAGTGTGGCCCATCTCTTCTGATTATAAATGGTAGGAGCTTTCATGCCTTAAAACAGTTTTATACCCAAACAAAATACTTCTGGAGGAAGTTAACTCTTACAGGTGTTGTTCTAAAGGTCTATTTATTGTTTTCCTAGTATATATTTGCTGGTTGGAGTGAACTGAGAAAAAAATCCATCAAACTGTCTGTGGCTGAAATGGCAGCTACTAATCACGCAATCATATATGTACTTTAAAGATTCTGTTAGTGGCAAAAATTGTCCATAACCTGAAAAATTATAAAATTAGTTCTATGATAAAAACCATCCTTTAGTTGAGGTGGGACAGTCTGAGGAAAAGTTAAGAGCATATGTCAAATGTCGCATCCAGCATTCAATTCCAAAGCATTTGGTTCTCTGGAGTTACTTCATAAATTAACAGCTACATTTAGACCAACTTAACAAAATTCAGAGAATAGTCTCCATCCTGCACTCTGCCAGCCACAGTTCCACTATAGCCCCTATTATACGTTATCCAACAATAAATCGGATGATGCAATTCAGTACATGGCTGCCATAACTTATTGCAACATGCCTGATTAAATGCAAAATATGCATTGGGAGTATACATAAAATCTGAGGTCATTTTCTTTACGGGGTGATTCAATGTGAGATGAAATGACAGTAAAACCATCTCTTGGGACCTGTAATAAATTGTATTCTTTTTTCAAATGAAAAGCATCCATTCTCAAAATCATGATGGAATCCAGAAAGTTATTTTTTAACTGAAAGTACCTTCAACTTCATCAGATAATCTAGCCACAAGGAAAGAGACAACACGCTAGAACATACATTTCTAACCATTTCCTTGGTTAGCACTGATAATGTCTCATGTGGGTTCCTTAGAGGATTCCTATGAACTAGCGAGAGGCTTCTCTGAAGAACAGTATTAAAGGAGGATGAGTACAAATTGTGCCAACTGTTGCAAGAATGACAAAGCAGTTGTTGAGTCTATTAACGAGAAACTTTGCTCTAATTCTCTGAAGAAAAGAAAAACGTCCTTGTTGTTCCTTCCTTTCCTATGATAAGCAAAATTGTTACATAACATTTATGGAGAGAAAGGATCTCCAACAGAACACCCCAGACAGTCTAGGCCAGGGGTCTCAAACTCGCGGCCCGCAGGCCAATTGCCGGGATGGGCGGAGCATGGGGGGGGGGCCCCTGCAGCCTTCAAAGCGCTGGCGGCGCCCGGGCCAGCCACGGGATGAGTGGCCCACCACCACCGCGGTGGAGGAATACTTGATGCGACCCAGCCTCACCCAGACTCTACTTCCAGCGGCCCCGAGGTAAGTTGAGTTTGAGACCCCTGGTCTAGGCCCTTCAAAGGCAGAGATGGTGCCTGACTAGGCCTGAGTGTAGCCAAGAACTACACGAGAAAGGAATGAATGGAACACAAACAGTAGCCTATTTAAATTATTAGAATAACCCAACTGTTCGTATTAGGAAACACCGACATTGGCTAAAAAAAAAGATAAGAGTCCTCCCTTAGGTACAGAAAATCTGGAAACAGCTGCCTTCTGTTCACCATGGAATCCAAGGATGGAGTTTTAAAGGGTTTCAAAGAGGGCTGAAATCTGTTTATATGGTTGAAGATTCTATTCCATACTAAGCACTAACTTTTCCATCCTCATTTGGAGGATTTAAGGAATTGCTTTTATTGGAAACAGAAAATAATCCCTGTTTAAGGGCCAGCTCTCCACTATATCTGCCACCATGGAAAGATATGGTAACCAGACAGGACATTAACACAACTAGCAAAAGTCAAGCCCCATGACCTTGCTGGTAGCATCCTGCTAGTAATTTCTGGTGCTGTTATCCAAATGTTACTCTAAGTAGCCTTTAGGTTGCATCCTATTTAACACTGCCTGTAGATTTAATCATGAATCCAAGGAAGGCAGAGTCTTTTCTGAATTCAGAGAAAACACATACCTTTATCTCAAGTTTGTGGTTGATAGCAAGGGCAGAATGTTCCAAAGCTTTAATGACAGAAGCATAGGAATCTGAAAACTTGGTGTATTTCCCAACAAGAGCGATAGAACATGACTCCAACAACCGATCATATCTGTGTAAACAAAAACAAGACAAAAATCCAATATAGGGTACCTCTTTGGAGTCCAGAAATACTAAGTCAAATACGGAATGAAGGGTATGATTCAGCATGACCACTCTCAAACCACCTCGGAGAATCAGGCTGTAAACTCGCAATATCAAGAATGGATTGTTAACATTGCAGAATATGGGGGTGAGGGAGGGAAGTGGGCAATGATGTGTGTTTTTTCCAACTATTCTTCTACATTAAATTCTTGATCTAAATGGAAAACTAGGACAGTAGGCTAGCAGACTAAACCAGAACATTCCTATGCTGTTTCAATTATTATTATTTTAAACATGAGGACGTTTTCAAAAAGATAGTCCTCCATCTACACCTGAACTGATGCAATGCACTTCACCTTCTCATTCTACTGTAGATGAAGACTAGAGTTACAGATAATATGCCAACTTTTACACATTTAAATCAAGAGCTTAAAGCACAGCTCTACTGAAGTCTAGGTAGTCTAGGTCCCAACTTGTTCAGTAGGACTTATGTCCAGACAAGCACATACATGATTACAATCTTAACTCACAAAGGAAATAATTACATGTATTTAAGTACTTATTCTCCAACGCTACACAAATAACATCCTAGCAAGACGAGTCCATGTTGCCGTGTGATGTTTCAGTTCCAATGTTATCTCAAGAGATTTATAATATAAGCAGGCAACTGTTTATGTAGCTGCCAAAATGCCTTCAAGGCCTGTGTTTAGGCTCCATGTACTACCCTTCCCGTACTGACAGCTTTGCATGATCCCACATCTGGCAATGGCAGCTAAGCTAACAAACAGCGAAGAGACTGCTCCAAAAGTTGCTAAAAGTGCCCCAGAAGGCACTAAATCATAATGCCTTTCTTAGTAACTCATCAGATAAGGCATTACAGTGGAATTGCAATCCAGTATTTTGCCTTTAGGATATGAAATGGTCTAGAAGTGAAAGAAATAAAAGAAATAAGAAATAAATATAATGGCTAAATAATAATTTGGTTGTACTGATTCTGTCTTAGGCTCTCCTTTACCTCATCCCACACATCCTCCCTTTTCAATTTATGTAAGCCGTCTCAAGGCGTTAAGCGATGGGACGGCATACAAAAACTCCAAATAAACAAATAAATGAATAAAATTCAAGGAAAACCATAAGCATTCACTATGTTCAAATTAAGCAAAATGCAGTTCCCTCTCCTTCACTTCCTGGTTCTAGCAAATCAGAATGTGCGCCTACGTTTGAATGAGTGTGTGAAGGGGGAAAAGGCACACATAAGCCCACGGAGTGGTTGTGACAGACATATTATGTGTGAAGTGAACCATTACCTTTTATATCTTTATAAAAGCTGCAACAAATTCCATTACAACACTGTGCTTCTTCACTTTACAGAACAGAACAATGCAAACACACGCACCCAAAATGCACCCGTATATTACATCAACATCAGTACAGTTCTTCCATATTAACAATCAGTATAATAACCTGCATAGTTTTAATATGAGAACCAGGCTACACAAAGACCTGCTGAACCCTAACTTACCTGTAAAAAGATTTCTCCACAGTTCTTCTGTGGGTGAATAGCTAGAAACAAAATGTATTCTTGTCAATACAAGATGGGAGCTTGAGAGGGCTAAAGAGGCAAGCCCTCCTTGCAACCGCCCCTCTGCTAGCACAGCAAGTCAGAAGAACAAGATTACTTCCTATGAGGGAGCCCACCTGTCAGCCATCTCCTTCCACTTCATGAGCATCCTCCTGGGCTGCTTTTCAATGGGAAGGTTAAGCCTGTGTCGAAAGTAATCAACCACCCCTTGTTCCTCTAGCAACAGAGGTACCCGATACACTGAAGAAACATCATGAACGCAAATGACCTGTTTAATAAAGAGAAACAAGGGATATTATAGTCTCACTGCCATGTTTCTGATGTGCATAACAGTGGGAAGATGGGACACCTGGAAGACCAAAGCCTTGCATCTGGAACACACAACGCTTTGCTGCATGCCCGTAGCACCGACGGCATAAAATGTTCTGATCTAGCACAGCTTGTGCTGTGCCCTGATGTAAAGAACTCCTCAAATGGAAAACCTCTACTGAGACCACTTGGCAACTTCCACAATAATATGTATTATTTTAAACAACTATCAAGTCAAACCTAATGGCCACACATCTCAGTGTGGATAGAGAGCAGCATACTTAGTAAGCAACCTACTCATTTATCATGCTGGAAATCTGCAACTAACAGAAATTAGTTGCCTGTTATGGTGACACAGGTACCACCCTGTGGGTTGATCAAGCAGGAGTGGCACCCAGGGGCTGTGCTAGCTGCTGATGATAAGCCTTGCCAGTCTCATCATGTGGTTGCCACCCACCAGCCATACCCCCTTCCTGGCCAGAAGTGATGCACCTTATGAAACCATTTGTTGAGAGTAAAGAAGGTGCTATCACAAATATGAAAACTTGCTATGGTGGAGGAGTAGAGAGAAAAGAAACTAGAGGACAATTTGCAATGTGCATGGATCACAAAATCAGATGCAGATCCTCAAATGAGTGGAGAAACAGACCCCACCTCATTAGCAGCAATTTCCCTGCCCTGACATTCAGATACTCCAAAAAATCAGGTAGATTTGCTAATGGTCACAACACAAGATATTTGAAACAAGCTTTACCTGTTCTGGTTCTACATGACAAAACATGGATATCTTCTCCTTTACTGAGGTATCGAGAGGTGTAGAGCACCTGCACACAATCTAGTTAAAAATAAAGAAACCAAACAAATCAGTGACAGGGCATTACATGTTAACGGAACCTTTACCAGCATAAGTCAAATTATACATTAACCAAGTTACACTGTGCACTTCTCTTGGATATCAGTTTCGTGACACTATATGCACAGTCATAAATCTTTCCATCCTAAGTGCTAAGGTGATTTCATTTACATAAATCACAGGAAAACTTACCAGGTCTGGTGAGAGACCAAGACCACGAAGTTCTCGAACACTATTCTGGGTGGGTTTTGTCTTCTGCTCTCCTGTAGAACTTGGCTAGAAAACAAGTGTCAAAAATATATACAGTGTGTCAAATCACAAATATAATGTAGCATCATAACTATGTATTATAACCATCCAAGTCTCAATCATTTCTCTAATAAGCCATCTTTCAGGAGGGAAACATCAAGCAATAACCAAGGAGGGAGAAAGTATCATTTTTCATGGATCATGAACACTATTATAGAACTGATTTCATGTGATCATTATAGCAGATGCAGCTTCACATGCAATTTTAATCAAAAGGCTATATAATAAAGAATTGGTTTTCAAGATCATGATATTACTTCTATTTGGAAGTAAAACCCACAAGATGAAGGATCGTTCTTGTAGGAGTTAGACTCTGCTAAATTAAGTTTAATGGGACTTACTTCCCCTGGAAAGTGGGCATCTGATCACAGCCTAAGCATTGCAATGAGTGTTACTGAGTGGGGAGCCAGCCATATTTGATGGGCCAAGTTCAAGTCCCATACATAGTCAGAGGTATTCCCCCACTGAGAGAAGTTTTCCTCTGCAGAACAGGAAGGGAGCAGATTTCAGAGATTCTGCTTCCTCTCTGCAGCATCATATGCCTCCCCTTCCAAAACTGGCTTGAGGATTTGTTGCAGAATTCTGCCTTCTCTGTACTCCACTGACAGTTGCCTTCTATAGCAGAGGGACACCAAACAAATACCACTGATAGGTCTTGCTTCCAAGAAGCCATCAATATTAGATACAGTTAATTAATTGTCTAGGGAAAGTCTACATAGCTTAAGACACTCATCAGCTACTTTTATATTTCACAACATAATATCATTTAAATGACTACATTTGACTTTATCTTTTCCGCCTTCAGATCTATATTCCTTATTATATTTTGTGTTCACAATGGTAAGTCTTAATGCTTGGTTATACCACTTCCAAGGACACAATTCTAACAATCTCAGGAGTAACAATAGCATTCAAGAATAGGTGGTCACAATTTTAAGTAAATAATTTATAGCATAAAATTGGTTTCTCACTCTGTTCAAAACATTCAAGATACCTTACAATGCATCTTTATATAAAACACCGTTGGTCAGAAACAGCAAACACAGCTATTCATGAAGTGGTTTTCCATGGCCTTACCTGAGGCACAAGACTGACGTGAATGTTACAAAAGTTCTCTCGCTTGACTTTGAACTGAAATTGGCGGAATGCCTCGATGAAGGGCATGCTTTCAATATCTCCTACTGTTCCTCCAAGCTAAAAGACAGATGTCTAGAATTAACCATAGAACTTGGTTCTTAGACCACACTGACGGTGTCAAAGTCACTCCACGGAACTATGAACAGTTCAGCTTAGAAAATGACTTATGTTAAAATGCTGGAGGATGCAAGTCATAAAGTGGATTCCAAACAAAGGTACAATTCAATGCATATTTAGACAGAAATATGTCCCACAACTCCCAGCATTCCTTAGGCACAGGGAAAGGGTTGCATCCCAAGTTAGTTACAAAGAAGCCACATGGATTTCACAGGGAACCAAGTTCAACTATCTTCATATGGACCTAACCCAGGGCTTCACTGAACGCACCAGAACAGCGTTCCAGCACCTTTTTTTGACGGATTTTTCCAATGGATTTTACGAAGTGGTTTTGAATCGCCTGCAGGCTGCTTGTGTGTCCGTGCTGATTGTGAGGGCGCTGCTCAGCTTGGGATGCTGCTCGGCTTGGGACTGGTGTGTGTGGTCGCGCGCTGAGTACTTACTGCCAGCAGCGACCGTTATGTTTATGTGTGTGTAGAGTGACTGGCTACGTGCAAAAGGTAAATAAGTTCTTTATTTCAAAAAAAGTTGGTGAATTGAAAATCTTTTTTAGTGTAAAAGTGTGACTCCAAGACATGAGTTCCAGCACCTTAGTAAGCACTGACCTAACCCATAATGTTTTCAGTTTCTTTTCAACCAGCTAAATAAGTTCAATCCGGTACAAGTAGGTTCTAAACACTTCCACATTTTCATTTCGAACTAGCCATTAAAACTACCCTTATATGTTCTCTTGGAATGCAAACAAAGACCACCATCCCAAGACATCAGCTGGATACAAAGAGCAACTTTAATCCCTGACAGGTTGCCACTTCCGTTAAGACATCCCCAAGTGATCAACAGTACTTGCTGACACAGTCTCAAGCATCCCTATCAGAACACTAAATAAGTATTGCATCAGTATAGGTTTCTTAAAATAATATTTAACTTTTAACCCTTGCAACAGACACTGGAGAGAATGAATACCAACCTCAATCACACAAACTTGAGGCTCTATGCCATCATCATCTACAGGGATTCGTGCCTGCCTCATGACCCACTCCTGGATAGCATCTGTAATGTGGGGCACAACTACAAAACGAGAGGGGAAAAACAATTGTCTATTTCCCAAAAGAAAACACAAAAAATACATTGGTCTTGCAGTTCAATTGTTCTGTTGAAATGGCTCCATATCCCAGAATAAAACTTGATCTATCTCAACACAGTCCTTCTTACCAATAGATACTTTTTACAAATGTCAGGTAACACAGCTAGGATCTTATGCAGCAGTATACTGCTCGAGAATGATGAGACAGAATTATTTGCAGTCCTGGTTTACCATTACCTGTAAGCATGGGCAATGGTATAGCAACTGTTGCAATGGTTCTTTTAAAAATCTGGGTTTTTTCAATTATGTCTGCTACTGTGGGAAGTATTACTGGACAGAAATATAAAATACAATTTGTCTATCTTTTAGAGTATAGAAACAGCATTCTATGAATTAAGCAAACAATGAACTTCTCATTTATCTTAGCAGGTCAGATAATGTGAACAGCATCAAAATACTGGGGATGCTGATATGTCAGCCTTTCCAAATAATTAAAGCAGAAAGGAGATACATTTCCAGTACTTTACCTTGAACAGTTTTGCCCAGATAGTCTCCCTTCCTTTCTTTGTTGATAACATACTGATAGATCTTCCCTGTCGTCAGATTATTGTCTTTTGTGAGTCGGATATCAAGAAAGCGTTCATAGTTACCCAGGTCCAAATCCACTTCCCCTCCATCATCCAACACAAACACTTCACCTAAAATAAAGTGACACTCACAATTAGACCTGCTTGAAAGAGTGACAGCATTCTTCCCTGTGTCCCACACCAGCTGCTGAAAAGATCCCCTAACATTGCATCTCTGCCCCTTTTCCAGTGGCAAGAGCACGCAGAAAAGTGTTTCCTGGTGACTACTGCATTTTTTTTCAAATTTCCTTTTCCAGCTGGACATATAATACTAGGTTCTCATATTCCATTCTACCCAGAGTAAGTTTCTAATATAATAGCTATGATTCGAAACATTTCATTTCTGTATTTATTTTGGAAGTTTGTACCCCACCCATGAGGTTCTTCCTAGTAGTTGTCAATATTGTTGCTGCTACTGTTATTTTATAGGGTACCAAAAACACCGTGGCACTACTAATTCCAAGCCTTTCTCTCAATGTGATTGTGACCCAACAATCCGTTAGGGGTGGCCAGTCAGAGGCAATTACCATGTCATGAGAACTTGGACTGTTCCCCACAGGGTGGTGAACTTTGTGGCAATAAGACACCCTAATAACCCATAGCCTATTCTAGGGATTCATATCCCACAGTGCCATTTGAACCTGCGTTAGCACTTTTATTGTGGGTTGCATCATTTCACTAGTGAGCTGCTTAGCAAGAACAGCAACCTCCCCACTGCATGGGATGCATGGGATGGAGTCAAAGGGGAGTAGTATATAATTCTGCTGGTATTTTTAAGACCACCCTGACAATAGGAGGATCTTGTCCCCCCACCCCCACCTTTGGTACAGCTTCTTTGTTTTTTAACCCTTCACACTACTTTTCAATTGACAGCTAAGAAAACCTGATGACTGTGTGCAATTTTGCCATGTCAATCTGCTTCCTACTTTGCCACTTCCTTTGGCAGCTGAAAAAACAAGGAAATTGACCAGGCAAGACTATTCATACTGGACAGCGTCCATGCTGCGAGACCGACAAAATAATAGTGAAACTAACAAACACAATTGTACATTTTCTGCAGTCAAAGAAAAACATGACTGTACTTGCACTTTCTTGAGGCTGCAAAAAAACCAGAAATAAATGGAGGGAGGAAAGTGGTGGACAAAAGAAGGGAGCAATCAGAGTTGGGAGGGGCTTCCAAAGCAGATAATGGCTGGTGGACTTCAGAGAACCACCGACCATTGTCAGCATCTGTCAGGGCTGCGCAGCTTATTTGCAGGGTGGTTCAGCCTGACGTGAATGTGAGCAGGCGGGGTGCAAGCATGCTCTTTCACCCAGCCCATCCTCCAGCATCTATTTCCTCAGCATCATTCAAGTTAAGTGTTACTTTGGTGAGCCAAATCATAAGTGAAGTTGGTTAAGTAGTTCTGCCCTTAAATTCAAGGCATTTTTTTAAAAAATCACCAGAATGTGATGGGAAGGAGGAATCCAGACCAGTCTATTGTGGGATGTGAGGGGCTTTAACTGCCCCACCCCTTGTTGAAGCTACAGTCTGTATAGGGAGGAAGTACCCATAATTTACGTTGCAACTGAGGAAAAAGATTAAAGCCCTACACTATGCCCACACAGCTTGGGCTCACCATACTAGCCATTTCTAAAATATTCCTGCATTCAAAGGCAGCACCACATAATTAGCAATGTGAGTTGCTTGGCCCTGCATTGCATTTTTTCACTCGGTCTTACCATGCTCATAAGGAGAGAAGGTTCCTGCATCAATATTAATGTATGGATCAATTTTAATGGAAGTAACATGCAATCCACATGATTTGAGAATTGTCCCAACACTGCTGGCAATGATCCCTTTCCCGATCCCAGAGATAACTCCACCTGTTACCAGTATGTACTTCATTGCTTTAGTATCTAGAAAAGGAAAAAAATAACTGGTAAATACAGCAAAACATCCCTGCCTAGATGGTGGGTCAACCACCTTGCCTTTTTAATTCAAACACTGCAACTGTGTTTAGAAAAAACTCAGATAAAAGCAATCCTAATTTAAACTTGACTTTCCTGTTTGGTTGTTGCTGAGTTAAGTCAAAGTCCATACTACAAATTTGTTCTTGTTATGTACTGTCAAATCATTTTCAACTGATGGATCCCTTTGAATGAAAGACCTACATAATGTCCTATTCATAGCAGCCCTGCTCAGCTTTCATAAATGCTGCATGCTTAATTCACACAATTAATCATTAGTCTTTCATCTTCATTCCTTCCTGAAACTAAAGCCTTAGGGAACAATTCTAAATACTTGCTAGGGAGAGATGCACTTATAAGGAAATCCAATGAATTCAATGGGATCTCTTAGTAAACATACTTGGGATTGTGCTCTAACAGAAATTGACATTTTACAGCCCCCCCAGAAGTTGCTTAACTCCAACTCCTTTGAGACCTCCTTGCTGACCTTTGGTAATTTCATGTACTACCATGAGGAACTAGGAAATAAGCTAGAAGGTCAAGCCTACCAAACCACATTATTCCAGGTAGAAATGTACTGGAGTACATTTCATCTAGAAAGCATAGTCTTTCTTAGAAGTTTTGAAAGCACAAACAGGCAACCAAAAGGTCTCTCAGGGCACCTTAAAGGCCAACAGATTCATTGTGCAGTGAGCCACAACAGAGACCAAACATGGCTTACTGTGTTGGACTGAGGCTCAGTAGTCCCAGGGTCTCATTATTATTTTGAATTAAACTGAACAGTCTTGGATTAGATGCTACTATTTCTCAGGCTAGTTTATGTAATAGGATTGCTGTGAGGATAAAATGGAAAGAAATTGACTGTGTACATCATCCTGGTTGATGCATGCTGAGAGTTGTAGATTTTTTTCCTACCTAAATATGCTTAGGATTGCGCCTTAAATCATCTTATTTAAACTAGAGTCTATCTGCATCTAATGACATTTATGACAATAAATAGCAAGCCCAAGCAGAGTGGGAAGTCATCGTGCCTGCCTCGCCTCTGACCCAGGAATGAAAAGATTTGAAAAACAGTGCCATGAGGAATCGAAGGATTTTGCTATGCTCCATACGGATGCGTCTCCAGGCACAACATCCAGTCAGGTATGTTTGATTTTGACATAAAGAGGGTTTTTTTTCTGTGAGAACTTTACACATAATGGACATGATGCAGAACATGTAGGAGTTTTCAACGTGGCTGGACAAGCAAATTGCTGTCAGTATTAGCTGATAGTGGGTGGAATCCAAAACATCTGGAGGGCACCACAATTGGAGGGGCTGTGCTAGCCCCAGCACAGTGCCTCCCCAGATATGGCATCCCACTGAGGATCTGAAACATTTCTTGTGGCAGGGGAAGCATCAATAGCCCAGATATCCTTTATTATTTTATTGCTCATTATTATATTAATACCACCTTTCTAGCAAAGATCTCTGAACATCTTCCATGGTTCTTCCCTTTTCTTCTTCCAGCCCATGCCCATTCTATCCTCCCAACAGCTCTATGAATTTGACCAGGCTGAGAAAGTGAACGAATGGTCCATGGTCACTCATTCCTAACTAGGGATTTAAATCTGCACCTGCCCACCCCAAGTCCAACAAACATTATTACTAAGTAGACCCACTGAGCTGGATCCACACAGAGCCTATAATTAAAATAGAACCAAGCTTGTCGTAACTAACACAAACCCCAGTAGTGTCAAATTCATTTGGCATAAGCTTTCACAGATTATAGCCTACTTTATCAGCAGCACAATAAAAAAGCTATCAATAAAGCATTGCCTCCATTACTCTCACATACTGTCATCCCTATATCTAAAGGTATATAAACCTGAAACTCTCCATAATACTCCATGCTTCCCGTCAAGGGAGTGACAGTCCACAAAAGCTTATGCCGAATAAAACTTCATCTTCAGCCTCTCCAAAACTCTTGCTTGCATTTGCAGCAATGGTCTAACCCAGCTAGCCCTTGGCAAGTAAGTCCCATTCATCTTAACGGGTCTCCTGTAAGTATGACTCAGCCTGGATGCAGTTCGGTGCTGATCAGCAGCCAACCACGTGGCCGAGGGTGGTACCCCGAAGGTGGATGACAGGGCAAGAGGGAAGATGCATATGCCGGCTTTCCGCTACACGGTGCTTTCCGGACGTGCGGGACTACAAGTCTCATCATGCTCGTGCTAACTGCGAACGACGTCTACAGTGGCGGATACAACGGCTGAGAACGATGGGAATCGTCGGAAACGGTGGCCGAGTTAGCTGGGGACGATGGGCACTGTAGTCCAGCACACCTGGAGGGCACGCGGCTGGGAAAGAGTGGCATATGTTGAGCGCTGCGAGGCGGCGGCGGGCAGCAGGAAGGCGGGCAAGGCGGACGGAGGACCATGCGCCGCGCAGCTGCCGGGCCGGGCCGTGGGAAGGCCCCCTCGCCTGTCACTACTGACACTGGGCACGCGCCGGCCGGCCGCCCCCCGCCCAACCCCGCGGCCAGGCCCGGCGCCGGCACCCCTCGCTTCCCTCTGGCGTCCGCCGCTCCGGGCCCCGCTTCGCCCCCCTCAAGCGAACCTGCCGCCGAAGCGGGCCCGTCCACTGCGCAGGCGCGGCGGCTCACGAAGCCACGGGAAGGCGAAGAGGCCGGCCTCGTCTGTGGGGAGCCCGCAGAAGGCCCGAGCACGCGAGCGTGGCTGTCAGCGCGTGAAGTCGGCGCGCGCGCTCGGAACGCATGGAACGACTAAGCGGGCAAAGGGAGGAACAGGGGGCGGGCGCGGCAAACCAAAACTTCAAAAAGTACGCCTGCGCGGTGCTTCGTGGGCCCGCCTTCTCCCCGAGGATGCTGCTCATAGGCTGGGGCTTGGAGGGGGCGGGGCGGAGTGGAGTTGGGGCTCGGAATGAATGAAGTGACGCACGGAGGAATGAATGGATGCTTGCTGCGCCGGGCCAGCGCAAGGAGGGAGCTATGAGCGCGCTCGGCGAGCTCAGCCCGGTCGGCTCAGGGATGCCGAGAGCCCTCGACGTGTGCAGCTGGCTCCTTTGAGCGCTTTTCCTTTCCGCCCCCCCCCCCCCCCGACGCCTCCGCATCCCATTTTCTTCGCGCGCTGCAGCTTTTCGATTGTAAAGGTGATGGCAGGGACTGAGCGATTACTTATTTTGATGGTGGTGGTGATTAACAAGTAGCAATAATGGATAAACATGTAAAATCAATGCATGGACTATATTGTTTCTCCATCTGCATAAAGTTACCTGAGGGATCTTCTCCTTGCATACCTATCTCACCCTAACCTTAATATCATCCTCAGCACCCTTCTCTGGGAGGCCTTGACCAAGGAGGCTACTAAAAAGAGAGCCTTTTCTGTGGTGGCACCCTCCTTGTGGAATGAGTCTTGCCTAGTGCCTGTCTTGCACTTTTTCCAGTGCCAGATGAAGATCTTCCTATTTTTGCAGGCATCTTAGTCTTTCTGTTGTCTTAAATCAGGTCGGGTGCAGTGCTGTGCAGGTTTAGATGGGGAAAAGACCTGCAGGTCTTGGCATGCTAGCTGGGGCATGCTGAGAGTTGTAGGCCTTATTTCTGTCTAAACATGCATAGCATGGCACCCTTACCATATTTTAAATCTTTGTATTGTTGCAAGGTTTCACTTTGCCTTTCTACTTCATTTTTGTACTGTAGGGATTTCTTAAACTGTTGATAATTTAAAAAAAATATTTTAATTCTTGTGAACTGCTCAGAGAGCTCCAGTTATTGAACAATATGAAATCAATAAGATTGTATTTGTAAGGTGCTCTAGGAGGCATTATGCAGACATCAGGCCTGTATAACTGGCTACCACAGGGACCATATCCAGCCAGCTGCTGGATAAAAGGCTTAGCAGCATGCTGAAAAGTGCTAGAAACAACATCTGACTTGGCCGCTGTGCCCCAGACCTTGTCTGTGGACCTTGCCTTCCTTGTCTTGAGTGAACCTCCATGCCTGACTCTGGACCAAACCCTGATGCCTAAACTCCACTGATCAATGGACTGATTGAACTGAAACCTCAGGCAGGCCTTGGACTTTCCCTTTCTGCCTGCTCCTTGAAAACACCACCCCAGTAATTACACATGGCCTCGGCTGACTGTTTTGTTCTCAAGCTTTTCTATATGTGAACAAGTTGGCTAAGTATATTGCTGCCCAGTGTTTTGAAGTCAGCCTTAAAATGAGACAAAGATGCTGCACAGTGGCAGGTAGAAAAGCCTAAAATGTCAGTGGGCGAATAAGGAAGCTTTGTTAAAATGATGGGTTTGGGGGAAGGAACGGGAGGAGATGAGGCCGTATGGGATTTTTCCACCCTGAATGACCCTGCGTCCCTGGAGCCATAGACACTCCGAAAGGGTCTTGCTCCGCCCCTCCCCTTCCTAAGTCCGTTTCCCATTTCTTTGTCACCCTGTGGACCTGAGCCCAGATCCTCCCGGTCCCTTGCATGCCCCTGCTGGCAGCAGGACCGCATCCACCGGCACCGCCCGTATGAGCAGCCAGCAAGCCCACTCAGCACGTCAGGTCATGCGGCTCACCCACTGCTCTCCAGGGCCTGCTGCCCGAGCCCCTTCCTGCGCACAGGGATGGCTCCTGCTTTGTCTTTGTCCTGTCTATAAAGACAAGAGCCTATGCGAGTGGCTCCGACCACTAGGTGTCACTATTAAACCAGGCAACATTACTGGCACCTGAAGGAAGCTAAACAAAGAGGTCTTCCTTCCTGCAGCGGCTATGGGCAGGGACGGGATAGTGGAGAAAATGCGTATTTTACCGCTGCGAAGCAAGGCTCAGCAGGTTGAAGGCGAAGGACTGTATGCGAGCACCCTGGGCTTTTTTTATAATTGCCCAGGGCAGAGGTTAGGCAATCAGATGGCTCGGGCAGCTCCCGTCAGCGTGGCCAGTGGCAAGTGATCACGGGCTTTGCAGGGCATCGCGATGCCAGTCCCTGTTTGGGGCCCTTGAGGAGAAATGCAGACCAGGTGATGCTCTCCCTTCATCCTTCGCACGGCCCAGACGGAGCGGGATGCTGACCGCTGCGCGTGGCCAAGGCCGCTGGTCCGGACTGCACTGGGCAGTGTCGAGGGGGAGTCGCCCCCCGACCGAGGCACCGCTCTCCGCGGCTGGTCGGGAGCAGAGCCAGTCAGTGCTGAGCGGCAGAGTCGGGGCAGCTGGGGCAGCTGCAAAGAGAGGCTCTTCCTTCTCGCCCAGCTTGTGGGCGCCATCAGGGTCTTCCGACTGGTCCCGCGGGAAGCAGGATGCCACACGGGACACACAGATCCAGCTGGGGTCTTCTCATGCCCTTGAAGAGACCCGCAAAGGGCACCAGTCTGTGCGGAGACACATCCACCCTCGCCAGTGCCGTGTGATCCGACCTGGTGTGCAGCTCCTAGACGAACGTGCGCCTTAGAATGTAGGCTGCCGTCCTGTGCGTCTTTGCCTGGGAGCAGGGCTTACCCCTGAAGTTAATCCCGCCATTCACAGCTTTTACCTTGCCCAAATGTTCGGTTTCAGCTGACTGATTTATTTTCATTTATTGGCCGCATCTCTTTCCCACCTTGCCTCCAAGGAGCTCAAAGTAGCATATATGCCCCCCACACGTCTGTGTTATCTTCTCAACAACCCTGTGAGGTAGGCTAGGCTGATTATCAGAGACTGGCCTTGAGTCAGCTGTGAACTGCATGGAGATGGAAACCTGGCTCTCCCTCCCAGCCTCTGTGCTATACCACATTGGCTTTCCCCAGGTACTGAGTTATTATATTTCTTGTCTTTCTCTACACACACACGAACTTTAAAAACAGCTTGCCCCACCCTGGGCTAAGCCTTCAAAAGCCTGCTTGCCCAGATCGTGATTCTGGTTTTGCTCTTATGCCTCTGGTCACACTGTCATTTCTGATGTTGGCTGAATGGGCAACTGAAATCCTTTTTATTACCAAAGTGCATCTAACAATTTCATTGCACACCAAGAATATAGGAGCGCTGCTGGAACAGGAAAAGTTCTGTCGTGTTCGGCAGTGAATTCCCACAATGACCAACCAATGGCAACTGCCCACTCTTGTTCTCCGGCGTCTGCTCTCCAAAGTCATGCTGAGCTTCTTCTCCTTTGCACTGGCATCTGTGATTTTTTTTTAATGCAGCAGTCATAATGTGTTCAGAAAACAACAGAGAAATAACTTCTGCAGCAAAGGAAAAGCCAAATGGGATGCAGCTGCAGCAGCTAAGACAAGAAAGGGAAAGTGCGGGTCTGCGTGTGCACGCCGAGGGCCAGAGAGGAGGAGGAAGACTTTTCCGCTGTTCCACCTTGCAAGTGAGGAGTGGGCTTCCTTGCACGTGGCACAGGCAGAACAACGTGGCAGCACCAGGAGAACCCAATGGGAAGAGCGATCGATGGGGGTCAGTATTGGCCCCCCGGGACCAAAGTCACACAAGTGCAACCAGCTCCATTCATTGGGCAGGCATGCTGACAGTCCCGATGGCTTAATGATGCCATTCCAGCCGCGCTCCGCTGCTCCTGAGCTGCTCTTTTCTTCTGCCTTCTATTTTCCAGTGCAGAATATAAACGGGGCCGGCTGGGGCTGGGGAGGCCTTTTGCCACCGCAGAAGGGCCATCCAGACGCAGGGTGTTTCGCTTGTTGTTTGGGTCGCCAACCTGGTGTGCATTCACACAAGTGCTTTTCCACTCAGGGGGAGTAGGAGCGGGCCAAATGGAGGGGGTCCCCGATGGGATCGTTCTCACTTGCAGCAGGGAAAGCTGGAGTTCCGAAGGGGTGTATTGACCGGCGGAGCGCTCCAGAGGGGCACAATGCCCAAAGGAGATTGCATGGGCGCTTCTGAAGGTCAAAGTATGGCTGATGTCCGAAAAGGCAGGAGATTTGAGACACTGCCATCAAACTGTGGGATTCACTTTCACAGAACATAGTTCTGGCTGCCAGTTTCAATGGCGGCGGCGTTTTACATGTAAAACCCTCCTTTTCTTCCTCTCACAAGGAACCCAGGCTAGCTTACATGGTCCTCTGTTTTATCCTACCTGTGAGGTAGGCTAGGCTGAGAGTGAAGGACTGGACCAAAGCCCCTCCGTGAGCATCATGGCCATGCAGGGACCCAGCACCATGCCATGCTGTGTTAAAAGGGGATTCGGCAAACTCATGGAGGAAAAGGCTATCAGTGGCTACTAGTCCTGATGGCTCTAGACTGCCTCTGACATCAGAGGCAAGATGCCTATGTACACCAGTTGCTGGGGAACATGGGTGGGAGGGTGCCGTGGCACTCCTCTCCTGCTTATGGGTTGCCCCTGGACCAGCTGCTGGGCTGCTCAATGAGCAGAATGCTGGACCTGATGGACGCATGGCCTGATCCACTCGGCTCTTCTTCCATTCTTAATTAGCAGCAAGAAAAAGGAAGGAAGAGAAGGAGAGAGATGGAGGAAGAAGAAGAGAAGGGAGAGAGATGCTCAATTCGGAATTAAAGTTATGTCTGTTTTGGTTCTTAGATGGTGCCATAGACCAGGACCACAAACGTTTGTCCTTTAAGGCAGTTGCTCTAATGCTGGTGGTTCAGCCACCGGGCTGCTGAAAGGTGTGGAAGGTTTCCACCTTCCTAGGACCCAGTTCTTCAGGAAGGGCCCAGGAGGTGGCTTCCCCACATCCAAGGAGGCCACTAGGAAGTCATTGCCACATCGTCACAGCCAAGACTACTAAAACAGTCCACACCCCTT